GTCTACAGACATTTTTCAAATAATTTCCTATGGTGCCTCTGATATTCTTAGAGCAACGCAGAAACTATGAGATGTGCATATTTATTTATAATTTTCTTTCTGTACTAAAGTTGTTTGAGTCTATTTTTGTAAATTAAAATAAAACAAATAAACCAAACAGCCTAAATTCCATTTAGGACAAACGGGATCATGCATTCTGCTCTGAGTATTTCAAAAACTCGAAAGATATCATCTCTCAGATTTACAGAGAGTATTCTGTAAAAAAGAAAATACCTTTGCACTTTAGTAATGTCAGCAGCAATAGCAACTATAAAAAGCAGTGGTTATATCAAAATTTGCAGAACGCCGTGTATGGAAGCACAAAATTAGAGAACCTTGAAGCAAATGAACAGAAGCAGCAGGGCATTGTGCAGTGGTAATAATATGATCAGGTTGTATGTTAGAACTTCAAGGTTGCACAGGAGTGATTTTTGTTAGGCTGCAACGGGTAAAGACATTGCTGCTAAAAACACACAGAGAGTCATGCATATGGGACATTGAGGTTTGAGCTGCCAGAGCCTATCAACTTCACAAAGCTGCAGTGGGTTAGGTTGGTCCAATGTTACAAACTGTTTCTTCTGGCAAATAACTTGAATTCTATCTCTGAGGAGAATGAGGTTAACATGGAGTTTTTATTGCATGGGAGATAAGGCAGATGATGGACTAGCTGAAGAGGACAGAAACACGTAACTGATTGTGCGGAAAAAGTTATAAATATGGCAAATTAAGTAAAAATGTTATGCGGCAGCAATTTTCTCGGTATGGTGATGTCAGAACAGAGAATGGAAAATCAGTTGACATGGTGTATAAATACAGTTTTAAGCATGTCAAGACCAAACATCAAGCCAAGTTACTCAAAAAGGTAAAGGTTACCAGTGTTTTAAATGTGGCTGCATTCCAGATCATCCCACTGTAAAATGCCAGACAGAGGACCCAAAATTCAGTCAGACACAGCAAGGAACATTTCCAAGTTTTATCCAAAGAATTTAGCAGATGCTGCAGGAATGCTAAGCAGTGGAGACAGGAACATTAACCTGAAGTAATGATGTGTGGGGAGAGGAGGAAAGAGGTTTTTGATTCCACTGCAAATCTCAGATCAGCTGTGGCATCTCTGCAGGTTTGGATGATACTTAGAGGAATGGGAAGGAAAACTAGTTCACAGGCCACAATCATGACACCTAAACATGATTGCCCTTCTAATGGGAAGAAATGTTATTTATGTGGGACAAAGGGACACTATACAGTACGCAATTGTCTAAAACAGTGCATAAACCTGGAAAGAAATGAGGATTCTCCGTTTTTAGGTATCATGTCAAATGAGGGAGAGCTCTGGAAGATGGATTTTGAAATAAACAATAAAAGCATCTCTCTCTAGATTGAACCTGGAGCTGTTGTCACAGTTGGGCCACACACCCTGTCTGAGAAGATCTACAGAGACAACGGGGCCCCCAGTATTAGAAATTCACTGGACATTTTGGGTGTTGCTACAATGAAAATGACAAAGGTAGAAAAAAGAGATAATATAAAAAGTATATGTTATGAGACACCTGCCTACTGCACTTTTAGGTTGACCTGGCATTCAGAAGCTGGAGCTTGGGACTCGCTTGTATGCAATAGCTACAGCAACACTAATGACATACTACCCAAAGATCTGCAGCGGTCTTGGAGAAGTGAGGCAGCCATATGTCATCTTACTGAAACCAGGGGCTTATCTATTTTATTAAAGACATCCAGCAAGATTAATCTTCCATTGATGGACAGAGTTAAACAAGAACAGTCTCGTATGGAAAATATGAGGGTGATTTGTAAGGTGGAGAAGTCAAATGAATTGTGCTCTAGTGCAGTGGTGGTATAAAAAAAATGGTTCCTTATGTAAATGTAATGGCCTTATAAACCAAATTAGTCTTGAATGAGCAAAAATATTTAGTTAATTCTGACAAATACGTTCGACTGGAGATACAGCATACAACTTTTAACACAACTTGTAGTAGTTTTTCAATTTATTTTTATTTTTTTTTGGTATAGCCTCTGCTCCTGAGCATTTTCAAAACAGAACGGTAACTTAGGTCACCGAGGGGTTACAGTGGGAGTTTCTTGTCACATTGACGACGTGTTGGTGTGGAAAAAACACTGGGGGAACTTGTTTCTTGTTTGGGTGCAGTTTTCAGCAAAATTCAAGAAGCAGGTATGACACTAAATAAATGTGAAAGCAGAGTGAGACATTAGAGTTGGAGTCAGTCCTGACTTGGATTCAATCTTGAACCAAATAAGACTGATGCTGTCAGAAAATTGAAAGAGCCAGAAAAATAAAAGTAAACTGTGTACAGTAAGTAAACCATTTGAAAAGTGTGTTTGTCTAGAACCCTGAGTACTTTATTGGGATTTCCTTTGCAAACTGCATTAATGCTGTTCGGCATTAGGGCCATCAGTCTAGATGCAGTGAAAGCCAAATTGCTTCTATAGCAACCATGAGGTTATAAATTCTGGTGTCTTTTACTCTTCCTCTTGACCGTAATCCTCATACTTGTCAGGAAAGTAATCTAAGCAGAGATGCCAGGATTTCCTTCACTGCAAAACACATCTTCCATTGCCTCTAGCCTCTGTGTGAAGATGATATCAACATCTCTTAAGTTTGTCAGCATGGGGGAGCATAAGATCAGATTTCTTCAAATGTGACTCAGGCCACTGGGCTATGTGGTCCGAAATCCAATACATATCTAATCTTTTCAATTGCAAACTGTGTCTAAACAGCCATATTGCATTCATCCCACTTGTACCAACTCAACAAAGATCAATATTCTGCATCTTGCAACACAGAGGCAGGGAGGGGAAAAAAAACATGGCGGAAAAAAATGCAAAGAGCAATCTTTCTTTTTGATCTTCTTGAAAAGATTGCTTTGTTAATGCACTGCGCTTGGAAAAGAAATGAAAGATCACTGTTTATGGATACAGATTCATCTGTGCATAGTGGCTCTGAACGAAATAACTGCAACCTCAGTTACCTCCTTATTATATTCTTACATATTCTTGAAAGGATTTGACAAACTTCTGAAGGCTGAGTTATCCTTTATTTTTGGTGCATCTTTGACTATTGAACCTTTATCTTCAATAAAACTTATTATGTAGTTGCGAGGAAAAAAAAAAAAAAATAAAAGCTTCTAATTATATTTGGTGACTTAAACATCAACATTTTGACCAAAATTTGTGCCCTTTAAATTGGCCTTAGATGTCCCTTTGTCTGTATTTATGCATTTATGTACTGTATGTATGCACACATAACTCAATAGGTTGTTACATTCATGCTGATACTGATTTTTTCACAGTTTCTGTCTTAGTCAGTTAAATAACATGCTGCTGTCATTTGTTTTGTGCACATTCCAGGTGTTGCTGCTATTTTTCACATATCCATTACTGTAAAAATGCTGTTATTGAGTTTTTATTCTCCATTTACAGAGTATTCTTATTGTAAAAACACTGTACAGCACAACACTTTATTTGTTTATCAGTTATTTTTATACACTTTTCTAAGGTCCACATTGTGTGACCACTTCTGCTATAACCCTTGGCTGCTGTAAAGACCAAATTTTGAATTGAGAAAGTTTCCTGGATGGGAAGCGAAACGTCTTCAAACTTTGAAAACAATGTCCACCTGTTGTTTTTTTTCCCTTTCTTTTTCGTAACACCATAATTTCCCCATTGTGGGACAATAAATGAATTTTCTATTCTATTCTACATGTATGCAGGGGCGGAGCTAGATGGGGGGCCAGGGGTGGCCATGGCCACCCTAACCCACCTCTTTAGCCACCCCTACCATTTTCTTTACCTCTAATATAGACGGTGGCAGCAATAATACTCTCAAGTTGAATGTTTTAACTTATTTAACATTTTAATATTATATATGTAAACAATAACCTGACAACAAAAATGCTGTGGTTAATTATGCACATCAATATACTGATATTAAAGATGATAAATACAGAATTCATGCTCTTTTCAGAACTAAATTTTGTCTATGGGGTAGAGAGGAAATGATGTCTCTGCAAGTCATCTAGGAAACTTCACTGAAGTCAGAGATAAATAACTACTTTAATAGCAAGTAATCCATTTAATGTAGATATTAGAACATGTAAATATAGATGCAGATTGATTAATAATAAAATTAGGTAAATAATGACAATGAATAAGATGTTCGCCATCCATCCATTTTCAAAACACCTTATTCTGAGTGGGGTCGCGAGGGGTTCTGGTGCCTATCTCCAGCAGTATGGGCGAGAGGGGAATTTAGAGAAACCAATTAACCTATCAGTCATGTTTTGGGACTGTGGGAGGAAGCTGGAGTACCCGGAGAGAACCCACACATGCACAGGGGGAACATGCAAACTCCATGCAGAAAGACCCCAGGCCGGGAATCGAACCCAGAGCCTCATTGCTGCAAGGCAGAAGTGCTACCCACTGTGCAGCCCATAAGATGTTCGCCCCAGAACTTAAAACTGAAAGAATTTTGTCCACTACACCTTTAATTTAGACAGCATAGATGTTTAAATATATGCAAAATTATAGTTTGTCTTTATTTAAAAAAAATATGGATGTTGTGGTTGTTTATTGTCCTTTTCGAACAGTGTAGATTGATCCTGAGGTTCTGGTGTCCAACTATTTTAGGCCATCCCTCAGAGTACATTGCCTGGCCACCCTTATAAAAATTTCTGGCTACGCCTCTGCATGTGTGTATTTTTAATCCATTTTCTGATTTACCTGACTGGGCACATTATTCTGTGGTTCTCTTGTGAACTGTGGTTAATCTAACTTAGTTATTTCCTCATTCTTCAGCGTTAAAGAGAATATTTTAGTGCTGGATTTTCCTCAACAGGGCTTGTCTTTTCAGCGTTGTCGGCCTCGTGGCCGTTGCCAGGGCAACCGTCGCTGACATTGCTGTGTAGCCCCTCCTCCCTCCGCTGCCTCGTCACAACCGCTCTGTGAAATTCCTGCGCTCGCTGAGCTGCGACGCCACCTGTCTAACGCTAAACTTCTAAAGTCTCTCGTAGACCGACTCCAGTCCAGCTGTTCGTCCAGCGGTGAGTAGTGTTATTTTGCTTCCTCTTTGCAACAACGTTTATTTCAGCTAGTAGAAGTAAGTAAACTTTGACGTTTAGTGGAAAAAGCACCTTTCAGGCGTCCGAAGTATTCTCTAAGGAAGGGCGCTCTTTAAGGTTTGTTTAAACAATTTCATGAGTCCATTAGGTGATATTTGTTGCAGGAAGTTTCTTAATAACAAAGAGGAAGCGAATGTCTTTTCACTGGCAGGTGTTTTTTCTACCATAGTTGATTGTTTCTCAGTCTTATCTCTGCTGATTTGTTTCCATTTAGTAACCAGATGTTGCGTCTGTTATGTGTGTTTTAGAAGGGCCCACGACTTGTTAAGTGGATCTTCTATTTATAGACTACATGTGTGATGTTTAAAGGAGGGGAAGTAGATGCTCTCCTAACTTTTTTTTTTTTATATAGATTTATCTTTGCATCTCGGTCTCTGGATTCCTGCAGGGCCATGTGGCGATAGGCTTGTCAAAGTTTGGGTAAGTTAGGAAGCATAAGAGATCAGGTGTGTCTCATTTGATACCTGCTTAAAATAATATATTTGCAGTTTTTTCACATCTATTCTAAGAGTTTGAGACACAGATCAGATGCGGGATGGTTATTCTTATCTAGGTCATTGCAACATGCTCTGCAGAGCGTGGTTGTGGTTAGGACTATACAAAAAGTTTCTCTCACTGTGGTTCTGACCACAGTGGTGCTAACTTCTTTACCTTAACATTGCCCATGTCAAGTCCAAAAACTGATAAGGTCTGCATACAAAACTCATTGCTCCTGAAGTTACAGAGAGCAGCTCAGCAAATGAGAGTGGAACCTGTGAACTTGGGAGTAAGCACACATTTCACATTTGTTGATCTGCAAAATTAAGTCTTCAAACACAAATCTTACAACAATTAAGTGGCAGTTTGAAGATTTGCAGTGGTGTCAAAAGTACACACATTTGTTACGTAGAAGTATATACTGCAGTTTAAAAACACTCTGGTAAAAGTTGAAGTATCAACTTGACCTCTGTAGTCAAGTAAAAGTGAAAAAGTATGTGCTCCAAAAACTACTTAAAGTATAAAAGTATAAAGTAACCTTTAAACAAAAAGCACTCAGATGCCACTATATGAATTGAAAGCTCAATTTTCCGACTATTTAGAAAAAATTCTTTGAGATAGGGCCAAGGATGAGGGAGGTCTTGTTGGTCTCCATCTCCTGATACGCTCTCGCCTGTTTCTGGCCTTTCAGACATTTTAACATCTTTTTCTGAATCCAACTATGTAGCATAGGGGCGACAGTTGCGTTGGATGTAGGAGTTTGCCCTTAAATCGAAGGGTTGACGGTTCAAGCCCCTACTCCGACTTTCAGTGTCGTTGTGTCCTTGGGCAAGACACTTAACCTGCATTGTCTACTGATGGTGGTCAAAGGGCCCGGTGGCGCCAGTGTACGGCAGCCCCGCTTCTGTCAGTGAGCCCCAGGGCAGCTGTGGCTACAATGTAGCTTGCCACCATCAGTGTGTGAGTGCGTGAATGAATGTAGTATAAAGCGCTTTGGTCAAGTCTCCTAACTTGAATAAAGGCGCTATATAAGTACATGCCATTACCATTTACCATGATATAGAAAATTTGCTTCGGATGATTTCCTTTAGCTAACCATTGAGTGTTTGTGTTATATGACTCATCCAATGACACTAGTTTTCACTAGATGTGGACGCCAATGATCTGCATTGGATGTCACACATGACGTGAAATAAGTATTTGTAAACATAAAATCAAAGCCAAGACTAACTAGACTAGACTTGTGTGAAAATGTAATGAGTAGAAGTCAGAAGTAGGAAGAAAAATAAGTAATGGAGCAAAGTATAGATACCTAAAAAGTGTACTTAAGTGCAGTAACGAAGTATTTGTACTCCGTTACTTGACACCTCTGATTATTTGGATCACAAGGTCAGCAAACTGCGTTTTCTTCAACTATAAATTATAGTAAGTGTAAGCAAAGTTTAAGAAGGGCTAATTTGTTTAACTTTTTTGAAAGCTATATGTAGAACATTTTTTGAAAACTTTTTTTTCAATTGACTTGAAATTAATGTTTGAGTAAAATATGTAAACTGACAATTTATATTCATCCTAAATTGTTTGAAAATTTTTACTAATTTCAGTTAAACCTCCAGTTTTTCTAAAACGTTCCTCTAACATTTTGAAAAGCCTTGGGTTTCAAACACAACATTTGAAATTTGATGCTTTTGTTCTTCCATTCTGTTGAAGAATCCACGTTTACAGCGAATGTAGGGATCCTACATAACTCTTTCGAAAGAACTTTTTTGTTTTTAGATAGTTCCTTTTCTTATATCCTCTTGTGTCTTGCTCACTCTGACTTGTTTTTTTTTCCTCATGAGGCTCATCATGCTTGCAAAATATTTTGCTTCAACCAGAACATGACTTGCTATAAAAAAAAAAAAAAAAAAACTTTACTTAATCTTGTATTTACAGTATTTTCTTTTTTTTTTGGAAAATTGATCTCACCGTGCAATTCGAATTTAAAATATTTGAATAATACTAGACTTTGAATTGAAATACTTTTTAAATTTAAGGGTATTTATTTGCATTACCTGTAGTGAAATGCCACGTAACCAATTTTCTCTATCCATCACCCTAAATGCATGACTGCCTTTTTGGTCTTTTGCTTGTTTACTATATGTACCTTTTTATGGGTCATCACACACCTTTCTGATTCTAATGAATTAACCAAGCATACTAAGGATAACATAGTGGGAGGAAATCTTCCAAACCAGTGCATCCAGGCTGCCTATAAAAAAAAAAAAATTGAGTAACATCGGTCAGTCGATAAAGTAAAGGTTTTGGGGTTTACTTGTCAGATGATGTTAGTCTCTGAAACCAAATGCTCACCACACTTTTCAGATGAATCATGCAAACATTATTTCCCCTCCACTTTGATACACTACAATATGTTGGAGTTTTTATAGAAAACTCTGTTCAATCCATCATTTGTTTGTGGTTCTAACATGAAATAACCTGGTTTGAAAAATTAAAACTTTAATGGACATTAGTACTTTTAAAAATCACTATTTGTCTTTTCTGATTCAGTAAAGAGTGATAAAAAAATATCTTCCTGCTAATTCTCTTTACTTGACCAGAGGTTGTAACTAAGACCCTCCTCCTGTATCTTTTCATAGGTTTCATCTACTAATTACAGAGGTGGTTGCTAAGAGATGACAATCGGTGACATTGCTGAAAGCCTCGGTTCCCCAGCAGTCTGAAGCTCCACTTCTCTGGGCTCCCTTTGCTCTAGCACTCTGTCTACAACTGGCTCATGTGAAGGACGCAGAAACACACTTCTACAACAAGACACTGATACCATGGCAGCTTTCACCTCCCCATGTCCTGACATCAATACCACAGGCTGCAGCATGGCCCAGACAACATGCCTAGGGAAAGGAAGCACCGACAACATGTGTGCACAAGAGCTGACAAGGAGCGGGAATTCGGACGTTGAAAAGAACACTATCCTGGGGAAAACTCACGAGTTTTTCCAGATGTGCGACATTGAGAACAAAGGCTTCATTAACCGCCGGGACATGCAGGTGAGGCTGCTGATTCAACATCACTACCAAAATCTTCATTACTTTTATGCTCTAAATGTGTTTTTTTTTTGTTTGTTTGTTTTGTTCTTTTTTAAAAGATACACAGAATAACTGAATAATTAAGAAAAAAGTACCTCAAAATGAAGCAGAAAGGAAATATGTAATTAATGAAACTGGAAAACCTCTTGATTGTTTCAGTGTTTGCTCTCTTATGGGACTATTGTTACCTCTCTGTATAGAGAATCACTTTAGAGTTTGTTATGGCTTTGTTGAAATCCACACCGCCACTTCAATAAGAACATAATACAGGGATGGTCCTGTGTGCTCATTAATGATGTCAGAGTTGACCGTGATATTGCTGCACGCCTCACTCAAAGAGACATAAAAGAGACTGAGACACACTTGGACACATGGGAGCTTTGTCATACAACCCTGTACCTACATTATTGTGCAGATTCAGTGGTCCATCCAATGCCCATCCAATCCTTTGATGAGGCACTTCAACGCTCTGTGTCTAAAGAGCATAAATGCATACAGGATAAGCTTTGATCTGTTGTTCAGGATGACGATCTGGGAATCAGTAGGTAATTAAAAAGACCTTTCAGTTGAGACAACTTTTTATATTAGCAAACTGCCACTAAATGCTTTGTGAAATGTTTTATACCCAATACCACATGAAAAAAAACAGCTTTAAAAAGCAATTTCCCTTTATATGAATTATTATTTTATTTTCTTTTAAACTTTCATTTTTATTGAATACTTTTCTCCTTTTAATCTTATTTTATTGAAACACATCTTGATATTAGAAAAAATAACCTGGGTAAATACAAAAAGCATTTTTTCATAAGTAATTTAATTAATAAATGGAGGAAAAAATCATCAACCCTTTGATAATCTGCAATGAGGTTTTTAGATCATTGTGGAGGAAATACATCCAATCTAAGTGGCTTAACTGCTTTAATTCAGCTGCTTTAGAAGGAAACAACCAAAAATAAACCCAAGGAAACCCTTTCCAGATTAATGTTTGCCTCTTTGTTTCTCATCCGTCCTTGAATTTCTTTAGATAGGGTATGATGCGCCACCCTTTTAGATCTTTTAGCCTACTTCATGCTGTCAAGCAGATTTTATGCAAGTAGTTTCCTGATACTGCTGCTCTGACACTGTTCAGTTCTTGGTATGGCTGGTGTAATTTAACTCTTTCTTCTAAAAATGTGCTTAATGACAGTAGATAGTTAATTTTACACGAAAGACAATATATATGTACTTTGACCAGGTTGGTTTAGAGACCTTTTTTTTTCCCTTCTGTCATTAAATTTAGAGCTGAAACAATTCATAGGGTTAATCAGATTGATTATTAAAATAATCATTAACTAATTTAGTAATTGTTAAATGGAGTATAGAGACTCCAAAACATAAGTTTAGCTGATAGAGTGACCAACTTAGAGCTGCAATCATATCAATATTGTAAAAAAAAAACCAAAACATTTTGCATTTAAGATAAAACATTTTCGTCTTTCAATGTGCTCTATCCAAAATTCCTCAAGTGGAACAATTTTAGTTTCAGCTGGCTTAATTTTTTTTATTAATCAACAAAATAATCAGATTTATCAGATTAATCGTTCTGCAAAATAATGGTTAGTTTCACCAAATTAAAAAAAGTAATTGTTTTAACACTTTTTTCCCCTGTATTTTCATGGGGTATATTGTCTACTAAAATGTGTTTAGGAACCTATAATATTTAGGTTTAAAAACGTACTCGAGGTCAGTGGAAGCAGATTTTTATCTTTACAGTTTAATTTTCACAACTGAGTGTTTCAAACCAGGACCTCCAACAGGATAGCTTCACAGGTCTGCTCTGTGTTTGTTTAAGGGGCATGCCTTGAAGAGATAAGACTCTTCATGAGAACAGCTGATTGCCCAAAGCAGAAGGTATCGGTTCTAATCCTAAGGGCGGCTTCCGTCAACACTTCAACAGAGCAAACACTGTATGAAACCAAGCTGGTTACAAAGGTGTGGCATGTTGACTGTCCTTTACACTGGCTCAACAGTTTGTTTCAGCTTAACAGGAGGATCTTATTGCATCTTCTTCTAAACTAAACTTGCAAGAACATTTAAAACCTTATGGCAAGGACTGTATTGTTTTGAAGACAAAACAGTAAAAAATGCAGAGTAGATTAATAAAATGATATTTTCCATTTTTTTAATCAATATATGTGAACTGGGGTTGCTGTTAATGAAGTTCTGCCAGCTGTCATTGTCTGATTCTCTTTTTCATGATGCAGCAGCGATTATCAGTGAGCTGCAGATCTGGTGTTCATGTTTATTTAGCTTCCTGGTTAACCTTTTATTGAGGTCACACAGTAAAGGAGAAAGAATGTATTTTTAAAAAATCACTCTATCTGCTACTGCACATAAAACTCGCACATGACAGTTGTTATAGCTACGGAAATGTTGATGTCCTTGAAATCTGTTAAACCAATGGTTTTTTTTGTCTTTTTTTTTCCTTTCTGACAGAGACTGAATAGTTGGCTTCCTCTTAGTGCAGAGGAGCTGGAGAACGTGTTTGATACGCTGGATTCTGATGGCAATGGATTCCTCACACTGGAAGAGTTCTCCTCTGGTTTTAGTATGTTTCCATCGCTTAATTATCGTATCTGACCTGCAAAATTTTTATTGAGATCTCCATTTTATTTACTTATGTATTTTTTATTCTTTTAGGTGCATTTTTGTTTGGTCGGAGGATTTCTGTAGATGATGTCATGGGTGAGAAAACCCTCAGTCAAAGCCTCCCAGAGGTTCTATATCAGTCCCAGTGGGAAGAGGGTCAAGGAAATGGAGAAGATGACGAGGAAAAGCACTTTGCTATGCTCATGGAGAGCCTAGGGGCCAGCAGCATCCTAGAGAAGTGAGTATTTCATGTATGCAGGCTGGTGATTGGGACTTTGTCTGCTGAGTGTGCTACATTCTCAGTGAAATGGCTTGGGGCTATAACTGGCTTCATAAACTATTCAAGCCTCATCTGCTTATAGAACAGCATGCGTTTTACCTGTTAGTGATGTCTTTGCTTGTGTGTACTTGAACTTGCTTCTAATTGAGGACATCTTTGGTGGATTTTACAAGTAAAGTGAGGACCTTTCACTGGTCCTTATTTTGTTGGCTTAGATTAGGACTAAGGTGTGATTTAGGTAGGGTTGAAACAATTGGATTAATGGATTATTGAATAATTGTCAACTAATTTATTAATCGATTAATCGTTAACCGTATTATGGAGATGGTAAAACATGCCTTTAGCTGACAGAGCGACCCACTTAGAGCAGTAATTATACCAAGATTAAAAAATAAATAAATAAATAAATAACAACTTTTGTCTGTCAATATGCTCTATCCAGAACTCCTCAAGTGGAAACGTTTTAGTTTCACCTGTTTTAATTTGCCAAAACTTCTTTAAGGAACCTTTGGCTATGCAATTATTAATAGATTAATGAAAAACAAATCGACAGATTAATTGATTTGCAAATTAATCGTTAGTTGCAGCCCTTGATTTAGGTTAAAATTAGGATGAGATATGTACAGCATAAGTACTGGTTGACTTAAGGGTAAGTATAATGGGTTGTAAGTATAATGAGTATAATAGGTTGTAGAAAATAAATGGAAGTCAATGAGGGTGTGCAGACTAACAAATCTGCAAGGAATGATAGAGAAGCATTTTAAAAATCTTAACCTCCATATTTTCTCAATGTATCTGTTAAGAATCCCAAAACAGTCTTTGTGGCTTCTTGGTTTCCTTCAAGCAATGCAGGACTGGACAATAATTTAAGATGAAACATTTTTTATATATATTTTTTTCAAATTGTAGAGGCGGATGCTGCTTTTTAAAGATCACATTGATTCTCTCCCGCATAACGGGAAGGAAAATGACATCTGGAATCATTTCAGTTGAGAGAGTGCAGCAAAAATTGATTGGCCATTTGGTTAGATGTCATGGAAAGCTTGAAGGATCTTTTTAACATTCCTAAAAAAAAGTTGCAGGGAATTTGCTACTCATTAGACTAGTATAAAAAACAAATTTCCCTTAATTTTTTTTTGTGTGTGTGTTTATAGTTTTTGTTTTTCATTTATAATTTTGTTGAACCAAAACTGCATTATCTAATGTGTAATTCACTGCATCAAAGCAGTTTTTCTACCTCTCGAATGAAATATGCATGAAGCATTCCATGTTGCTAGAGAACCCTTGCGGTTACAGTTTTTCCCCAGTGTTTTATTGTCATTACACTGTCACAAGTACAGAGCAACCAAATTAACTCTGTGAAATTAACCCATCCTGTTGTCGAGCAGTGGGCTTGCCAGTGTGGGGTGCCTGGGGAGCAGTGTGGGGTTAAGGGTCTTTGCTCAGGGAGCCAGAGTGGCAGTCTGTGGGAGTGGGGCTTGAGCTCAGATCCTCTGGGTTCAAGGCTATATACCCTAACCACTAGGCTGCTACTCCCTCACTAGGCTGCCACTCCCTCAATAGTTGATCAGTGTTGACATTTTGTTGGACAGGTGCTCAAGTGGGGGGAAAAAAAGGGCCCAATACAACTTTTTTAGATTTCCTAATTCAATGTCAGCACAAATAGATCAGTGACATTACAAAGAAAGCAGTCATGTATAATGGGTATGAGAACAATTGACCCATGTGCTACAATACTAACCCCTGATTCACTCTAACCAGTAGCAGTGTTCACATCAGCATGCCTATAGCTGAGATTTAACATGCTGGCAGAAATAACCCGATTATGTTTTTCGGCTGATATCGGATCAGGACATCTCTTTCTTATGGTGAGAACCTGTGCAGCAAGTTGTGTTGTAAGATCTACATGTAGGCACGCCTAGGGAAACAAAAATCAACTTGGTTCAAGGATTTATTTTAAGTACAATAGAAATCTTGGTATTATTGTACAACAAAATTATGAATGAAATGTTTAAACTCAGTACCAGCCTTTAACAAGATTTCAAGAAAATTTAAATATACATTTCCCTTATATTTTATTTTTTCAAACTCAGCATATGTTTGTCTTGACTACATAATTCTGTACTTTAAGAACAAAATATTATCTGCACCACACAACCTTATGTTGCACCTAAGCAGGATCGTAGGATAGACCACTCACAAGGTAATTTATGCTCGCAATATATTATAGTATCTCATGGTTGTTTTCAAACATCAAATAGTGCACCAGAGTCCGGCTGGAGCCGAACTGTAGTTTGGTGTGAGTTATAGTATGATTGTACTTTCTTACTGACCTAAACGGTATCAGATGTAGGTGCCGGTGTGAAAACACCCTAAGCCTGCAATTGCAAAAGTGGTTCAGGGGAACTGAGAAAATGATTGAATCCTAAGTTGCACTGGCCTAAAGAAACAAAAGTTGAAAACCTTACTGTATGGAACTTGCTCTGTTACTACACTCTATGCACTACAGCTACTCTCTATTAAGGAAGTAGAAAAGTCCCCCTGATCCCCCACTGTTCAAGAGTACAAACCTCCATGTAGCTTTAAAATAAAACAAACGGCACAGGATGAGGATATTGATTAACTACAAGCCCTGAGAACTGATCAATATGCCTGCTGATATTATCAATGTATAAGAGGTTTAGAATTTAAAACGATATAAAAGCCTTGAACCTCTCTCAGAGCTTCAATCAATAACTTGAATGTGGACAGATGATGAACTATGATGCTCACCTAAACTGACAGGCTGAACAAAGAGAGCATTAATTAGAGAAGCAGCCGAGACATCCATGCTGACTTTGGATGTTAAACTTCTTAGCAAAGTCCAACTGCAAGTCATTGGCTAAAAATTTGCTCTGCCTAAGATTTATTTATTTATTGCAGTATAAGTATTTTTAAGTTTAGACCTGCAAAATGCCGTTAAACTTCAAGATTTATTTTCTCACCACAGTTGGTGAAGATATGCAAAGTTTTGTGTTATATTGGCAGAGATAACTGATCTAAATCTCATTTTCTCCGGATTCCAACTCTTCTGCATTCAGTCCTGCAGAAGTGCGGAGTCTGTGGGCCCAGCTGCGGCGCGACGAACCACACCTTCTGACAAATTTTGAGCATTTCCTGGCCAGAGTGACGGCACAAATCAGAGAAGCTGACCAGGAGAAAAGGGAGATGGAAAGTGCTCTTAAAAGGTTTGAGATGAACATATATTAATGACTTTTGTGACGCCAGTTAGTGACGCCTGATTGGTTATTGTTAGTTTGCTGTTAAATATTGTTTCTACTACAAGCTTAAATCCTTATTTTGCACTAATACTTGATTTTTTTTTAAAACAATCAGGAAAGCGGCAACCCATGACAATGAGATCCATCGCCTATATGAAGAAATGGAGCAGCAAATAAAAAACGAAAAAGAAAAAATTCTACTGGAGGTGAAATTGGACAAAAATACTTTAAGATTTTCATATTCTTGACAAATGTTAAATATTTCCTTTTTTTTTTTTTTCTTTTTTTTATGTGTTTCAAAAATTGTGTTTTAAGGATTATGAGCGATTTCTGTCACGGAGTAAAGACCTGGAGCTGCAGCTGTCCAGTAAAGAGAAGGAGCTGGAACACATCTTCCAAAAACAGAGAAAGGTCAGCGGGAACATACTAAGCTTTATGTTGAATGGCTTTCTTTTACCATTTCTATATCTAGAGATATCTGAACACTGGATGTGATACAAACAGGGAGTTTTAACGGCCAGTGCAGTCTGTTTTACTGTGAAAATCATGGTAAAAAGTAAAAATCTTACCAAAAATCTTAGGAAAACACACAAAAACAGGATGTGATTAATAGAAATGTGGCAGCACAGGAACTCAGATAAGCAGCAGCAATCATGAATTTAGTGTCTTCACACTAAATTCATGAACATTTCCAGGCTCATCCAAAGGTGCCTTTATTTTTGATTGAATAAAGGTATTAGATCTGCTGAACAACAATTTCATTTCAGTTGGAGCATCAGTGCCAGGAACTTCACAGCGAGCAACATGAGACCAAAGTAGAAAACGTGAAGCTGAAACAGACAAACGATGATCTGGCTCGAGAGCTGGAGCTCGTCAGCCAGGAGCTAACATTGGCCCAGGAGCAGCTGAGTTTGCTGCAAGAACAATCTGCACATCTTCATGAGGAGAAAGAGATGTGAGTGATCTTCCATTTCCAGGAAACTGCTGAGCATCGGTCATTAATTGCAATCAGGCAATCTCTTTTTTTCTCTTCTTTCTTTCAACTATTGAATTCATAGTTGTTTAAGATATTCTGCAAACACATCCTTTTGAGCATTTCTCATCATTACTATTTTTGCCGTTTTAGTGCATTAGTGCAGTTGAGACTTTTCATGCAGGACCTCCTCATGAGCTTTGTCATCATACAGAATCAGGAACAGAATAGTAAAAAGGCAATTGTTTTCCTGGCCATATCGTGTAAATAAACAGGAAAATATATATATATATATATATATATATATATATATATATATATATATATTTATTTTCCTTTTCTGCCCAGTATCATTATTAATTGTTCAATTTTGGTTGTCAACAAAACCACAGAGCATAAAGTTTTTTCTTTCACGAAAACTGATTTCTTTTTACTCAGGGAAATATACAGACTGACTGAAGGACTACACCGTGAGCGAGCAAGCCTTCTGAAACAACTCGATCTTTTGAGGTATGACTCAATAAAATAGCCTCGTCAGAAATGCGGAAGCTGATATTAAATGTTTATTAATGGCAGCTAAAGTCTTCTAAACTTCTGTCAGTGTTGTTTACCTTGTATATGTTTTGTACTGTGCAAAGGTAGATCACTTCCTAAACCAGTAAAACATGGATAATACAATAACAGGAAGGTTAGAAGATAGAAAAAGAGAGGTTTAGAGATGCCTATTGTATGATATAATTGAGCTTTTATGTATTCTGGTTTACATTCTTACAGGCATCACATATTTAGACACTTCTACTCATTAACAACCTTATAAATGTTCCAATTCTTAATGATTTATTAGTAGACAAGCAGATTATCTGAGGAACAAGAACAAATTCTCTGCCAGTGTTTGTGGCAGAGAATTTGTGAACTTTGGCTTAAGGGCTTTATGTATATGTAAAATAGATATATACTGTATGTATATGCAGGAATATTTTATTAGTTATTTAACTGTCATGTTTTTTTTATTTTTATTATTTGTTTAGAGAAATGAACAAACATTTACGGGATGAGAGAGACATGTCCTTTCAGGTGTGTTCAAATAAGTATTAAAGATATTTTACATGTATTTCTGGTATTTTGAATCAAATAATTTCATCCTAAATTATATGTGCACTTGGCAGAAACCAAAGAGTACCAAAATGAGTTTAAAGCAGAGGACTTTTCTTGATGGCGTCAAACAAACCAGCACAGACATCTTTAAGAGGTAGCTCATACAGAGCTTATGGCTTAAGAAGTATTTAACTTGGTGCTGTAAGCTAGATAGCGGCTTTATTCAACATGAATGTTTTTGCAGTGAGGATGAAGAGGAACCAACTGCTCTCAGGCAGACCCCTGTTAACGGATTATACCAGCCATCGCTTGCAGCTGAAGCCAGGTGTCGTTTCCAGAGGATCATCTCCATCGAAGAAGACCACCTCCCCTATTTACTGAATGAAAACGCTCCCCATAAGAGTGCTGAAGAACAAAGACTTTCAGACAGTGAACACGATGTGGATGTGATGATGAGCAATATTCATCAGAGTTCCCCCCTCCCTCAGCAAGAGTCTGAGGACATTGTTGAGGAGAGGCAGATTCCATCATCTCCAAGGGGTCAGCCAGTGGGCAAAGAAACAACCATAAATGTAAGCATTACCACTTTTAAAATCCATCCAAGTGCAGGTGGAGTTTTGTTTTTAATATGATCTAACCAAAGCCTAAGGTTTACAGAGCCTTCCATCTTTCTATCACGTGTTTCTCAGGAGGAAAGTGTTCCTTCAGCACCTGACAGACTCTTCAAGGTTGTCCTGGTGGGGAACTCCAGCGTCGGGAAGACCTCCCTCCTCCAGAGATTTTGTGATGACCACTTCCACCCTGGCACTTTTGCCACAGTTGGTACGTGGTGCAAATATTCAGTCAGAGCTCCCCCATTTCCTGCGAGTTGACTAATGACAAAACAGCAGAGCTATGTGGTTAACCTATGCCTTGGTGCTTGGAGCTGAAAAATAGTAGTTTTAAAACAAAAGTGAGAATGATGGGCATCGTTTTCTTAGATTTCACATTTAAAATTTAAAAGCATAGTACTGCACAATGTGCATGATCCCTAATTTTAATTTATTTTATTTATTTTTTGTCCCATGGATGGCTTTAAATTTACACTTATGAAATCAGGTATTTGCTAAGAATTGTTCATTTGCTGAATTCTTTTAACCTACTTAATTTTTTTTTTTTTGGAATTGTTTTGTAATTCTTATTTTTCCTCATTTAATTGTAAATGTATGCCACAACATAAAAAAAAGAGGGGTAAAGAAAAGCTTTATGTGGATCACTTTGATTCAGAGAAATTTTCTGTGGTTACAAATGGAAAATACACTCACCGGCCACTTTATTAGGTACACCTGTCCAACTGCTCGTTAACACTTAATTTCTAAGCAGCCAATCACATGGCGGCAACTCAGTGCATTTAGGCATGTAGACATGGTCAAGACAATCTCCTGCAGTTCAAACCGAGCATCAGTATGGGGAAGAAAGGTGATTTGAGTGACTTTGTACGTGGCATGATTGTTGGTGCCAGAAGTGCTGGTCTGAGTATTTCAGAAACTGCTGATCTACTGGGATTTTCACGCACAACCATCTCTAGGGTTTACAGAGAATGGTCCGAAAAAGAAAAAACATCCAGTGAGCAGCAGTTCTGTGGGCGGAAATGCCTTGTTGATGCCAGAGGTCAGAGGAGAATGGCCAGACTGGTTCGAGCTGATAGAAGGGCAACAGTGACTCAAATAACCACCCGTTACAACCAAGGTGGGCAGAAGAGCATCTCTGAACGCACAGTACGTCGAACTTTGAGGCAGATGGGCTACAGCAGCAGAAGACCACACCGGGTGCCACTCCTTTCAGCTAAGAACAGGAAACTGAGGCTACAATTTGCACAAGCTCATTGAAATTGGACAATAGAAGATTGGAAAAACGTTGCCTGGTCTGATGAGTCTCAATTTCTGCTGCGACATTCGGATGGTAGAGTCAGAATTTGGTGTCTACAACATGAAAGCATGGATCCATCCAGCCTTGTATCAACGGTTCAGGCTGGTGGTAGTGGTGTCATGGTGTGGGGAATATTTTCTTGGCCCTCTTTGGGCCCCTTGGTACCAATTGAGCATCGTTGCAACGCCACAGCCTACCTGAGTATTGTTGCTGACCATGTCCATCCCTTTCTGACCACAATGTACCCAACTTCTGATGGCTACTTTCAGCAGGATAATGCGCCATGTCATAAAGCTGGAATCATCTCAGACTGGTTTCTTGAACATGACAATGAGTTGACTGTACTCAAATGGCCTCCACAGTCACCAGATTTCAATCCAATAGAGCATCTTTGGGATGTGGTGGAACGGGAGATTCGCATCATAGATGTGCAGCCGACAAATCTGCGGCAACTGTGTGATGCCATCATGTCAATATGGACCAAACTCCCTGAGGAATGCTTCCAGCACCTTGTTGAATCTATGCCACCAAGAATTGAGGCAGTTCTGAAGGCAAAAGGGGGTCCAACCCGTTACTAGCATGGGGTACCTAATAAAGTGGCCGGTGAGTGTAAATCAAACTGTTAAATACTTCCCCCTTTGAGATTTATTTATAAATGACCAGATCATTTTTCCTTTTTTTTAACCTTGAGGAAAGTGAGTTGTGTGGGGACAAAAAAAACTTTTAGGGAAAAAGGAAAAACATTGATTGAATAAGATAATTTATTACTTGACTCTTAGTCATTCATAAGCTGAAATAATTATCTTAATCTACTTCTGAACTTTTGTGAATAGGCATAGACTACACTGTGAAGACAATAACTGTGGATAACAGCCAGGTGGCGCTGCAGGTGTGGGATACAGCAGGGCAAGAAAGGTAAGATTGCAAAATCAGACAGAAATCCTCTTTCTAAGCTCATTTGTAAAAAATATGGAAATGATTTTGGTTTAATGGCACATGTTGTCAGAATTGTAATATAAAACTTAGAAGCACCATGAGTCCCAGCGCATGCAACAAAAAATAAACCCTTGGTCCACTTCTTGCTTTTCCTCCTCCAGGTATCGAAGCATCACCAAGCAGTTCTTTCGTAAAGCTGACGGTGTGATTGTTATGTATGATATAACTGCTGAGCAGAGTTTCACTGCAGTCAGACAGTGGCTGGCAAGTGTCAAGGTAACAGATAAGCAGTTCCACCTTTCTTTTTATAAAGATCTGCTTCACCTCAGAATATCAGCAGGTCTGTTTTTAATTGATAGAGGAATGGATAGACATTTGTTTGATCACCTAGGAAATATAAACCGCTCATTTTAAGCCTCCATAATAATCTGCTTCTCTATTCTGGGCTGCTTGAATTTACCTCTGTTTCCTTCTCAGGAAGGCACCGGTGAGGACATACCCATCATGCTCTTGGGTAACAAAACAGACAAAGAGAGTGAGAGAGAAGTTCAGAAAGAAATGGGCGAAAGACTTGCCAAGGTCTTAATTTTGATATACCCCTACATGTTTGATTTATTTGCTGTGTAATACTTATTGTGCAACTGGATAAATGCATTACTTGTAGTTGTCTTTTATTTTTATGTCAATATCCATCTATATATCTATTGGCATCTGCTCTGCTCTCTGTTAATCATATAATGTTTCATTTAAGGACTGTCAGATGGCCTTCTTTGAATGCAGTGCATGTTCTGGATACAATGTGGCAGAATCAATGGTGCATTTAGCCAGGTAAGCAGTTTATTCACAAAAACTAAAACAAAATGATAAAGCAGGTCATGGTTATTCTTTCAAGACCAAAGACCAACTTTTGTCAGTGTTTAAAACAATATATGAGGAAGTGGTTCAACTTGTACTTCTATATGAACTTTTTTTGGCTTTTTGGGTTGTTTTTGTGAGCAAATTTTATTTCCATATCTAAAAGAGGACACGGGAAGTGACGTGACCTAGGGGAGTCAGCTTAGCTTTACAGCAGTAAACAATGGATACCAATGCTAATTAGAAAAGGCAGAGACTTTAAATGTACTTCTGATATGATGAACTGCAACCTTATAATTATGAGTGAAAGTATTTCACTGCGATAGATTAGTCCAGCAGAATCCTGCTATTTATCTAAACTGCAGATGTCACTCTGAGATACAATGTTTTGCATGATGTAAACGGATCCTATTGCAAAATCTCGGATGGTAAGTAGGGAGAAACACCAGCTGTTGGTGGGGTAATGTCTGCTGCTTTTTGTGCGCTGAAAGAGGGAATAGATCCAGTTTTCTTCCGTTAATTTAAAGTTTTTTCCAGGGTTCATATCGATCCCAATCAGCCATCCACTAGCAAGTGCGTGTAAGGTCTGTTTACTGAGCCGTCTGCTTTGGTAAGACTTGCATCGGGACTGGATCACCGATGGTATCTCAGTCACACTGAGGAACAAGTTTCATTCATTTTAGCATCGTCTAGCAGAGTTTGTGCAGCTCCCATAAATGCAGTATTTGACCATGTTGATGATCAGGACAACTCTCTCTATTTGATAACTACCGTATTTTCACGACCATAAGGCGCACCGGACTAAAAGGCGCACTCTCAGTTATGTGTCCCATTTCTGTATTTAACACACACATAAGGCGCACTGGACTATAGGGCGCGTTTTTTATATACAGGTACATGTCCTCTACTACCTTTAAATACCTCTACTGCGTATTTAAAAATACAGCGGGGGCAAAACTGAGTATGACTGTGCTTTATTCATGTATTTATTACAAAGTATTAATCAAACCTGGCTGCTGGCCGTGAGACAGACACATCGCAGATGACACAGCGCTGTGGTCACTCCTAAATTAACTTAAAATCCTGAAACCTGCCGATGGAATATGTTCGCTTTTATTACCGGTATCCTGGTGCCTGCAGCTAAAATTATTTAGATGAAAAACACCTGCCAGCAGCCGCGGTGAACGAAAGGATTTCTACTGTCGGCGCACCGCTGGTATGTGGGGGTCTGAGCGCATCCGACAGAAATAGATAATCTGGATGAACTGACTGCAATTATTAAGTTTTCAGGTGGCCTTTCTCACTTAAAAACATATTAAAACTACTTTATTCCCACTGATCACAGCAAATATAGCTGCAAGATTTAGATTATTTAGATGAAAAAACACCTGCCAGCCACCGCGCTGAAGAGGAGGAGACGCGCTCAGAGGCAGCTGTTGAATTAAGTTTTCAGGTAGAAAAATAGAGCGGGAGCAAACCTGAGTATGATTGTGCTTTATTCATGTATTTATTACAAAGTATTAATCAAACCCATCAAAGTCATCATCCTCTGTTATCCTCAGCATTCCTCTGAATAAAACAGCTGCGCTAAATCAGACATGCCAGTTTCCCCTTCTTCGCTGTCAGAGTCACTTTCCGTTCAGCGCAGCTCCTCAGAAATAATGCCGGCTTTTGCGAAAGCTTGAACAACAGAGCCAGCAGACACAGTCCATCTACAATCCATCCGCAAACGGTGGCGTAACTTGCCCGGCGCTGCCTTCCATTTATCCTGAAACTGTGGTCTCCGTCTGTCATCCATCGCTCCCACGCCGCTCGCAGCCTTACTGTGAACGGCCGCTCCACACCGATGTCGAGCGGTTGAAGTTCCTTTGTCAGACCCCCGGGATAACGGCGAGCACAGCGTTCATTTGATTCACCTTTTTTTCACATCGGCTGTGAGATGGGCACGCAGCGATGGTGATGCGTGGAAAAAAGCACCTGGTCTTCTCACATACACCTGCCTCAGCCACGCTTTCATCATCTCCTCATCCATCCATCCAGCCTTTTCATTTGCGTTAATATCATATGTCATCAGAGCGCTGTCTGTCTCGCTGCCAGCTCCCAGATCAGCTTCTCTGATTGGTTGATGCGGCGCGTCCAGCAGCAAAACTTCAATTTTTCCATCTGAGCAGCAGCAGCGCGTTGGCGGTGCATCAGATGCTTAAACGCTCCCGACGTGCTGCACCAAAACGCGCTGCGGGACCTTTTGCTGCACCTATACGCGCGTCAACCATTGACTTTGCATGTAAACTCGCTGCTTCTGCTGCACCTGCTGGGTCCGGTTCACACCGATGTCGAGCGGTTGAACAGCGAGCACAGGGTTAATTTGTTTCCCCATGTTTTTCACATCAGCTGTGAGATGGGCACGCATGGAGTCACAGATTAATGGTGATGAGTGGAAAAAAAACACCTGGTCTCCTTACATTCAGCCACTCTTTCATCATCTCCTCAATGAGGTGGTCTCAAAAGTCGCAGTTACAACACACATAGGGCGCACCGCACCATAGGGCGCACCGCACATTTTGAGGGGAAAAAAAGACGTTTAAGTGCGCCTTATAGTCGTGAAAATACGGTACCTACTTTCCACACACAACTGAAGCAGCTCTATTTGACCTCGCGTGACTTGTTAAAAAAAAAAAAGCAATTGTTAGAGTCACTGCTAAATGATGTCACTTTTGTTGCTAAATTTACTTCGTTATGACAGCCTAGACGCTTTAAATCCTAAACAATCTTTTTATGTTGCCCATTAGCCAGCACTTGGTTTGGATTTTTTTGGAAAAAAATTACCTGCAATTTGCTCTTTAACTTAAAGTAGAAACATTTTCTTGTTTTCTTGGTCTTTGAAAATGTTTATTGTATCTAACTTGGCAATCCATCACTTGACAAGTGAGAATGTTTTATGACTATTATTCAGATTACCAGACGACCCTGATTATAAGAAAACCCCCTCTTTCCAGGACCAGTTTTTAGGAACAAAACAAGAAGACCAAAAAGACTGATAAACCAAAATTATTTGGTTTAAAGAAACTATTTTATATTGAAATGCTAACAATTTATTTTAAATAATATTGCATTGAAACCTGCACAAAGCTTTTCCTCACAGGCGTCCTGTGCTTTGTTGAGCTCGCTGTCACTCCTAGTCACACCCTTCAGCTCTGCACTTTTTTGATAAGCTTTTCTTTTCCTGATCGCATTTTCTGGTATTTTTGAACGTGCCATTTTCTGACATTGCACTCTTTAACTCCTTATTTCTTTGCTGCCTGACTGGTCCTTGATGCCTCTGCTGTGTTGACCACCATATTTTAAAATTGGAGTAATAACTCCGCCTTAAATGTTTGCAAACTTGTCTGACTTTTGATTCACTCCATTCTGGGCAGCGACTTTCCAATTGTAGCGTCTGTGTCATTTCTTCTCAGTAGTGATAGAAAGATGACACTAGCCTCAACGAGGTTAGCTTACAAAAAAAAAATGGCGCCCTCTGCTGTTCTGTTCGTGTCGGACCCCAGACGACTGTCAGCCTGTATAATTGGTTAGACCCCGATTACAAGATGCCGCATTTCCACATCTCTTTACACAAAAAAAAAGAAGTCCTCTATTAGGGCAATACGTTATATTTAAAGTTTTCATGTCACCATCTGTTTGTCCTGATTGAACTGATTCTTAGTTATATTTGCTAGAATTCTGAAGGAACAAGAGGATCAAGAAAAGGAGAAGACGGTCCAGCTGATTAGCAGCCACACAAAGAAGAGATCCTGCTGCTAAGAGATAAGACACTTTATACAAAGTTGCACTACCCTTTAACCAAGTTATTACATGTCCTAGTATAAGCACATGTGCCAGAGAAAACACATTGATATATGACTGTCAGCAAGTCTTTAACCCTGTCAGCAGGATCAAAACTATCTCCACCTGTCCGGTTGAATAAAGGGAGGTTAGATATCAAACTAGCTGAGCAGGATACAAAATCAAACTAGATTTTCATAGAAATTTCGTAGCGTCTGTTTTAATTTATGCTGTATGTTTACTCTTTCACGTCGGAAGGCCAGATAATTTTTTTTCTTTGATTTTTATCAGTTATAATTACAAATATATATATATATATATATATATATATATATATATATTAAGGTGTATTATATTAACATGTTATTTCACTTGCTGTAGATTTTATGTGTTAAAAAAAACACCCAATTGCATTAAAACACCATAATTCTAGCAAGCTAATATTAAACTTTATACTGTTCATACTTTGTTGGTCAGGTTTTAGCTGACAGGCTGATTAATACTATTTATGAGATTATGTGAAGTTTTTCACAATTGTTTGAAAAAAAAAAAGTTTGGATTTACAGAAGTACTTTGCACATATTTACAAGTATTTGTTTCAGGTTTGTCATTTTTAATTGTCTTTTTTTCCCTAGTTATTTTTCTTGATGGTTGGTTATTTAAAAATAAATGTATCTCCATTGAAACTGATTAACTGATGTTTTTGAACATGTGTCTGGTATATATTTTCAGATGTATTGTCATTTTAAAAAAAAACTGTTTGAAAGTAAATAAATTATTCTGTATTAATATACCTGATAACGCCAAGTGTTTTATGAAAATTAATTTGTGTATGGAAAACCTATTTTTGTCACAACTGTTTCACTACTTGTTATTTTTTGTGTATATATTGAAATGAAAATAAATGTAATGAGAAATATATCAATGTTACTCTTCCTTGCATCATGAAAAGAAAATGGCTTTACAGTATTACAAAGTTAAGTTTATTCCATTTTTAGATCACATGACAAACTTTGTAAAAAAAAAAAAAAATGGAAGATTTTTATTGAAGCACTCTTTTCAAATTACTATGAAATGCTAATGGAATTATAGAATTAAAACTCAAACCTCTTATTTTAATTCCAGCCGTGCTGTGATCTTACTCGTCATCCTCTGTCATCATCACGGTGCCCTGTGGTGAAGAGCAATGTCATCCATTTTTAAAAGCCAACTCTGTGAAAATTGAGTGAGCAACACCCTCAAATAATGTACATTCACTTTTTTAATGAAAGAATAGTGTTGGCAACAGCCTTATTAAGATCACAGGTAAATTGGGAACAATGCAGAGCCTAAAGATAGGGAGTGTATAAACTACAAGTAGCCTGGTTATTGTTTCATCATATCACCATGCATTAGTAGTACAGCAGCTGCTTATAATGTTTAATTTTTCTGTGTTTGTCCTAAAATAAGTTTGAAGTTTGTAAAATGCTGCATTTTTTCTGTAGTTCCTCAGGATGATTTGGACGAAAATGGTAAAAACAAGGCTTGGTTAACATTTTAACTAAAACTTAGGGTCAGAACTAAAAAAGAAATGTGAAATGTGTAATATATTTTGCAGGCTATTAAAAGTAGCCACCCATGTAAGCCGTATGAGGGGAGTCGACACAAATACATTTGTAAATTATTATAAAAAAACTGAAACACAAGGTCTTTTTTTAGAGGGCCAAAAAAAAAAAGTTTCTTTTTAGGATCCTACCAACATTCCTGATGGATAAGTCAAAGGATTTGAGTGCACAGAGCTTTTTGAAGGGCACAGGCGGAAAGAAAAAAAATAGCATCCTCAAAACTTTAGAGGTCACTTTAGCACCCATTTTGGCTGCCATGGAGACAGGATGGCGTGCCTCCTGCCTCTAAAGAGGAGCATTCAACAACTGACCCATGTGCATGCATGAGGCAAGACTGAAATGGAGAAGGCCCACAGAAAGAGCTGGAAACTAAAACACATCATGAAAATATTATGCACTTTGATCGACTCCACTGCTGAAGGAATAGCACTTCTAGACCCTTTAACATTAGAGCAGACCAAACCAATTTGGATACTTTGTATGGATTACTTGCAATTTACCAACATCTGGGATAACTTGCATGTTGAGGGACGCACATATTTAAAAGGTTGGCTTATACATGTAGTGGCTAGGGAGGTCAGGGTTCATCCCCTAACCGGGAGGTTGCTGATTGAGCCTCTGCTTGGGGAAGATGACTGAGGCCATTTGGTGCTCAGAGATGGCAGCTGGTATAACAGCCCTGCCTGATGCTTACCACCATCAGGGTGAATTTGTGTATGAATAAACGTAGTGCTTTATAGCGCTTGATAAAGCATTATAAAAGTACAGGCAACTTACAAATATGCATTTTTCTAAAGTTGTGATAAAGAAGTGACATCAGAGATGGTACAACCCTAAACCGCAAATAAACATTAAAATGAGCCACAATGTCAATTTGGTCACTATATACTGCACCCTCACAAAGGCAGGAAGGGAAATTGTACAAACTGTTCAGTGTACATCTGTTTGTCCTTGGCTGTAATGTTCAGTTACTGAACAGTTACTACACTTACACAAATAGTTGCAATTCGGTCATTCCCTACCTTACTGCACATAACATGACAAAATTACATCAATCTAATGATGTAATTTACTGTTTGTTCATAACTGAATGTGGAAAAAAAGCAGTAACCCATCCAAATTATAAACAAATACAGACCACAATCCACAGGTACATCACTCCACCTCACATTATCACACAGCTATTAAGAACATTCATTGGTGCTAGAAATATTACTGAACTGCTTGTTTTACATTCAGAATTATTTTAACAGTCTGCAAAAACGATTTCCTGCTCTCATTACACAACAAAGCAACACTTTTACTGTTATTGCAGGGGTAACGTCATCTTGATCTGGTCTTTGGCCTGTTCTGTTGCTGCGGACCCTCCCGTCCTCCTGCTGTGAGTTAGTTTGTGCTGAGGAGTATGTTCATCTTCCTCCTCTGTGTTAAACTTTGTCGGCCAACGCTCTCCACTCTAATGCATTTTGTAGTCCTGAGAGATCGCTGCCTCACACAGTTGCCCTTTGAAATCCAGTTCAAAAGTGAAGTCCAAGTCACGCTGTGGGTGAGCATGGAAAGAGACAAAAGAGAGCGAGTTTTTCAGTCAAACTGAGACAACAACCGATCAAACACTCAGCAAAGAGCACAAAAGATTTCAGGCCTTAGGCAGAACAATTAGGCTATATGTTTTGACCAAACAGCAGGACGTCAGAGCTTTTACATTTGGAAACAGGAGAAGGTAAACACTGCCTCTCTGTTCCTTAAAGGGTGGAGAGGACACTGACAAGGTCAACATTAAAACCTGCTGTTTGTTCAAGGCGCCGCAGTGCTGCTGCACCAAAACCTAGAGGAGAAAACAACCTGCAGTGTGCAGACTGTACAGGGAATGGGTGATTGCTTTAACAGCACCTCTAATATTGATCGAAAAGGGCATGCATTTTTTCTAACTCATACAATATAACCATTAGATATACATTGAACTCACAATATTTTTCTCATTGGGCTTCATTGTAAAGCTGCCAGTAATTTCTTCGCCTCTTCGGACTGTCAGATAATCCTCCAGGTAAAAAACGGTCTGCTTCCAGTGGGTGTGGGGAGCATCTGGAGCTGCAGAACACAAACAAAAGCACTTCTGCAACATTAATCAGATATCTCAGTTATAATTGGTTAGTGAACAGTCTATTGTAGCCGGTGAATAATAAAAACCTCCTCAACTCTCAGTAGTTTTCTGAAGCTTTGCAGCAGGGTTTTGAGCTTCTTCACACACATTATTATTTTTTGGATGGAAAATTATGCATACATTTTAACAATTTTATATTTTAGTAAGCTCCTGTTTCCTAAAACATAGAATTGAAACACATGAAAGTCATCAGTCATTAGAAAATAGGTCAAATAAAAGAATGTCAACAATGAAACACTAATAAGACTGTTGATATATAACTCATCTTAACGACTAAATGGTTTGCATACATACAACTTGGCATCACCCCCCCCCCCATTTTGTAGCTTTTTCTGAACCTACGACTTTACGATCAACCAGAAGCAGTTCCACACAAATATATCGTGATATAATATGTTTGACGAAATTGTTTATATAAACAACTTTCTTTTTTAAGTAAGCATTTTAAATGCCACAATAAACACATTTAATGAATTTTATTGCCAATCAATGCCTTAATTGAAAAAATTATAACTTAATGATTTTTAATGACCCGCGGAAACCCTGTAAGAAAACGCCTTCCTTTGACGGGACTCTGTGATGCAGTTAATGACATCATTAACACTAAACAGACAGAAAGTGCTGGGCTGGCCCCTCCCATGAACCTGCTCTGGATGTACAGTAGGATGTCTAAAGGACAATCACTGTTTAGTTTATGCATAATAACAGAAACCATCCATCCATCTTCTATACCTAATTGTTCATCAGTGTCATGGTGGAGCTGGTGACCATACCTTAGCAGTCTAAGGACAAAAGGCGCGAGGGGGGGCGAACCCTGGACAGTAGATCCTAAAGCAGGGGGGGAATTCCAAGACCCGCAAAATGAGGTAATGATTTGATAGTAGTGGCCCAAAGACGGCTGAAGAAAGGCGGATGTATGGATGGTTTTAAAAGTTTCTATTGTAGAAATAATTTTCTTGGATCTGAACTGCAACATGAAGCCTGCACAGAGAAACCAATCATGTGAGGCATTTACAGCAGCAATGTTTAACTAAAGCATTATGACTAACTAAAAACCGAGGTGCTGTCATGAATTTCTTTTGGGGAAAAAGGGTTCATTACCTTTAGTTACAAACGTATGTTTGTAACTAAATATTTAAATACAACAGCGAATAAATATGCTGGTTTTTTTTGTCTTATGATATAATTCATAATTGTTTTTTTTATTATTGAACTCAGATGGTTTCTGAAAGTATTTTAGAAAAGTGTTCAAAATAATTTTTTTCTAGCAAAGCTTATGAACAGTAATAACCACATTTTTTATTTTGTCTACTTCAAAACACAACACTAGTGGATTTTATTGGGTTTTTAAGGTGCAGACGAACACAAAGCAGAGCATTATTATGAAGTGATTGATATATCTGTTTTTTTTAATTATTTAAATAGAATACAGAGTCATTTGATTAGGTCGAACATGTGTGTTTTTATATATAGAAATTACTTAAAATTTCCTGTTTTTCACCGCAGTGGTTTGTTGGAGATCATAAGTGAACTTAATCCATCATCAAGACCAAGAAACCCAGCAGACAGGTCAGGGGGAAAGCTGAGGAGAATCTTAAATCAGACTCAGATTTCTATAGCTTTGAATAACATCTCCCAGACCTCTGTTAGTGATACGTTTTCCTACGCTGCCTTCTATCTGCTTGTACTCTGTGCAGGGAGACAGAGGAGATGTGGCCAACACTTAATGCCATCTGCATTAAAACATGTAAGTTTACTCCAGAGTCCTGACAGTCACTGATGACTTCAGGGAGCTTTTAAAGGACACTCGAATTGAATATCTGCCAGTCTTCCTGGGGCGCCCTGGTTGTTTCGGCTTTAGGGACAACTCTCTTTAAGTTCTTAGATAAAAGGAGCTGCCAGTCAGTTTGACAGCAGGACTGGCTCAGCTCACATTATTTAGGGATGGTTCCAAACAGATGCTGAGAAAAGAGGTCTGCTTCTTGCGCAAATGCAACCGATGACATGGCATTCCATTGACAGGCCTGAGATGGAGTGTTTGACCTCCTCATAGATTGTTTTCCTCGGCTGAGATCAAAAGTCTGATGCAGTTTGCTTTCAGGGTTTCTCTCTTGACACTCTGTGTGTAAAACTTTGATCTCTATCTTAAAGATTTTTGGCAGGTTAGTCTTCACATCTGACCCTGGGAAAATGGTTGACAAACATGTTCACAGAAAATCAATAGGGAAGTGAAGAGACAGAAAAGAAAATCTGGCGTTAGAAAAGGAAGAATTGAATTCTTTGTGTTGAAGATGAAAGGTCTCTTTGAGGGTTATTTTAGGACAAGAAGAGGATTTGTGATTATTTCCGGTAAAGGAGTGGCGGCCTAATTGTTAGGGCATAGGGCTTAGCATCCTCAGGTTGTGAGTTCAAAACCCACTCCCACAGAGCGCCACTCTGGCTCCCTGAGCAAAAGACCCAATATGCACCCTGACAGTGCACAATTGCAGTCCACTGCTCCCCAAGCGGATGGGTTAAATGCAGAGAGTGAATTCGTTGCACTGTACTTGTGACAATAAAAATGCTGGAAGAGTCACTTTTTAAAGAAATCTAATCATCTTTGTTTACATCAGCCACTAGAGGTCAGTCACACACCGGTTTTGATGAAGCGATTTTACTTTTAACTCCAATACAAGAAAGAAAGACCTTTGAGCTTCTCTGTTAATAGACTACTTCAATTTATAAGCACAGCCAGGACCTCTTAACTACATCATAATATAACCTAGATTTTTTTTGTTTTGTTTCATAGCTGGAATAATCAGCTGTGTGGCCCTCCATCCATCCATCACTCTATCCATCCAGGCATCTTACCGCTGGTATCCGGGATCTCGTTCTTTCGGTCATGACCAAAAGCTCACGACCATAGATAAGAGGTTGTAATATAGATCGATTGGTAAATTGAGAGCTTTGCCTTTTGGCTCAGCTCTCTCTTCACATCTCGTCCACAATGGAACGGTACTGTCTGGCCAAAGGTTTTATTCGTGACATTTTGATCTCTAAATGTCTTTTGATGTCAGAGAGTAGAATTTCCTCACTGCACCTAATGTTGATGTTCTGTAGCTTTATATTTAACAGATTCATAATCCGTTTAGATGAAAAATCATTGTTTGGAAGAAGAATCTCTGATGTTTGCAGACTGATGCCATCCTACACACATTGCATGTTTAATATCCAGCTCCTAGCAGAGGAATAGTTGAGCTCTTACCTGTGGAAAATCCTGTCTTTTTGTGACACTTGGTAAACTCGATCTTAAAGAAGGTGACAAGTGCATGGATGTAGTCGTTCCTCTGGATTTGCAAGGAGAACGCTGAGGTGAACGAGAGATCCTCTGGTTTCACTGTGTAGATGTCAACCTCCTAAAAAATGGATTTCTAAAATCAGCAAAGATACAGAACTGCTTCTGCAGCTCTTTTCTAAACATCTCTGTATGAATTTTCCTTAGAAACTGAGAACAGTATGACTATAATATTTCACATTGGAATTCTGTTCAGCAGAAATATTCTTGAACTCAAGATTAATTTATATTAAAACCAAAACTTCAATATTTTGGGGGGATTTTATGCAGCAGAACAAAAAACACCAAACAGGAAAAACTGCTTTTCAAAATGTTTACCTCCAAAATTTGGACAATGTGCTACGTATTCATCCTTCTTTAATCTGCATGTGCATTTTTTTTTGAAGAGGTTAAGTCTTTTCCAAAATTTGCAAAAATCCTCCACTATACCTTTTAGATGTGTATCTCTTTTGTCAAAAGATGAAATGACGATTATAAATAGACACCAAAAAAAACTATGTTTCTGTTTATTTTATCTGGTGATTTTTAAAGATCATGAAGAAAATATTTCACACTCTGGTTACTGTAAATAATTATGTTATCCCAGCATAGAGAGGACATGGAACGTTTTTAATCTTTCCAAGGCCTGCACTGCAGTGCTGGGTTTCTGATATATCAGTGCCTCACTTCTAAAGCTTTCATTAGTGCAGATAAAATATTTACTGTAGAGGAACAAGCCTTATAGCTGCTGGCAATTAAAATCGATGCACAATTATTTGGTCCTAGCTGTAAATGTTAGAAAATATATTTATTTTACTGTATATCTGCTTGGGAAAAGAAAAACCAATGGTCATATTTAAAGGTCTATTTATTTTTCTTAAGTAATTCTTGACAGACTAAAATGACAAAACATGAAGGCAATTGTTCTAAATTTCTTTCTTTACATTCTTACCCATTTTTCTGAGTTTTAATTCATTGAATCAACGGTTCTCTGTAGAGCTGCACAGTTCCACCACTCTTAGAAGGTCAAGCAGTGACCATTTAAAGATGGAGCAGAAAGCAATAAGGATTGTTTTTCTATCACACAGGAGAGACTGATAAAAGTCAAGGTGTTTTCACGCAGCAAAGATCAGTCAGGATAGAGGGGAGACCAGACAAAAACCTGTAATCAATGTCAGCGATAAGGGGGTTTCGATGAGAACAACTGGGTAGACAGGCAGCTGTTGTCATGCACGGTGCAGCAGCCTTATCAGGGAATAGACATGCACTAAACATCAAGGTCAGACTCATTCCCCAATGTGCACTCTGACAGAAAGCTCATCATTCAGATGTTATTACTTATTAGGTGTATTTAACACCTGGTGCCAGACATGTTCACTAATGATGCTATAATGGTAGATCAATAATGGTAATATTCATTTCTACATACTTAGCTATGCTAGATCCTAAAAAATGGCAAATTATAAATTTCGAGGATGTGAGTTCAAACTTGGCTAAATAGCACATCAAGTTTATTGCTAAAAATCAAGAAATGCTTAAATGAAAAAGATACTCTTTTAGGAGACATACTAGGTGGTAGAAATGTTGACTCTTTTCTTCTGTTCATGCTTTTTGCTTTTTTATCACAATTAAATATTTTAGTTTATGCCGTGGGGCTTAGTCTCAAACACAGATAGGCTGAGTAACTAAAACGACAACACAAACGTTTTTAAATAAATCAAAGAAAAACAAGCTTTGAACAATCCTGGTTAAAACAGCAGATTAGAAAACTTATTGGACTTTTTCTTTTATTTATAATCTGAATTCATATAGCTAACTTAATGAGATCCAATAACTCATCCAGGATGATTTTCAAGAGAGACCTGTTTGAAAATGTCCCTTGGCAGCAACTGTTGCTGATGACTGACAATAAGTCCTTTATGACACTCTGAAGGATTTTTGACCCACTGTTTGAAAAAAAACACTTAAATTTATCTACCTTTTTTAGGTAATCAACTGTAATGAGTTTTTTTTTTTAATGTCAGGTCATATCATTATAAACAGATTTAAAAGTTTTACTGTAGCTTTCATTATTTTGGAGCTGTAACCCTCAGTTTTAAACTTACAGTGAAGTCACGAAATGACTTAAAACACTTTCAATCAGTAGTTTCATAAAAAGAGCAGAGATAATAGTTTCATTAAAGCTTCTGGCCATGTATTTACCACCACTGTAATTCTCTGGAGTCAAAAAGAAATCTGGCATGCCTGTGGCTATTGTAATTAATAATTATAGATGGAAAGAAGCAATTATTTCTTTACATACATTAGCAGTTCCCAGTCAAACACCAGCCGAATGGCAGCCTACTCCCCTGCGACTCCCAGCCATATCCCCTCCAACTTCCAGCCACTGGCCTTCTCCTGGGCATGCATTTTTTTTTTACTCTGACTGCCCCATTTAACTGAATTACAGTGTCTGACCAGGAGAAGACACTCCTTGTTGCATCTTAATGTCCAAAAATCATGACAGAAAGAATATTTTAGTACAAAGATTGAAAAGGAGGATTGGCAGAAGGACCAGCCAAGGGCCCATCAAGGAAAGCGGGGAAATTTTGAATGGCTTCTACAATAGGGCAATTTCTTATAGATAGCTCTTTATGTCAATGAATACTAAATATATTTTTGTATATTGCTGTTTAAAGGCTTGTTAAAGATTCAGGATTCATATTAGAAAAATTTTCAACCCTTTCTTTTTATATATATATATATATATATATATATATATATATATATATATATATATATATATATATATATATATATATATATATATATATATATACTGTATGATTGTTATGTTAGGTGCCATCAAGGTCAAAGCCTTTGACTCAAAGGCTTTAAAACGGCCAGAAATCTTTTTTGATCTTTATCGTTTATGTTTACAGTTACCTTTTAAGCAGTTAGTAAAATTGCTTAAAAGTAATCAGAAGAAATAAACTTAAATGTTAAATGAATTAATGTTAGCTTTATCACAGAACAGTTTGGTTTTAGCCTGAGAAAAAAATACCTGCTGGCCTCCCTTTGCCAGCCTGTAAATTTATTTATACTCATGGCTCTTAGTCAGCTGGTATCGTAATGTTATTCTGACAGAAAAAAGAACAGTACGACATCTTTAAAAGGCGGGGACCCTTAAGATCGTTCTTTTTTTACTAACTATGGTGGCTTTCAAGAAAAAAATGCATCACAGCACATTCACAGATTTTTGCAGCCATACAATTATATAAAGCTCAGAAAATCTAATAAAAAATGTTGAACTGCTGAGAAGAAAGCTTTCAGAAGCAGCAGGGGTCAGTGTTTCTGCACATACAGGAAACTTCTTGACACTGGTGTGTAAAAGGGTAGCAAAGTAGACATATAATATAGACATCAAGAACAGATTGAGTCACAGGAGGAAGAATCTGGATTTGACTCACAGAAGGCGCCTTTGGATCTTTCAAGGCATTTTTAAAAACAGATTTTAAGAAAAGCTCCTGCTGACAGTAATGCATCCTGAGAATACTCGCATATGACGCTGCCTGTTGTCTTAGAAAGTAGATCCACTCATAGTTTTCTATATAAACACCTCCATGAGGAAACAATAGGATCAAAACATCCCTCAGGAGCAAATTTGCCAGACTTTAAAGCAGCAGCTTGGTGACGGATGATTCATTTTCCAGCATGATGCAGAATCGTATCACAAAGTAAAGGTGATGAAGAAGCAGCTTTAAAACAGGATTAAAATAAAAAAAAAAAAAATGTTCAGTCTATAGCAAGAAACTCCCCAGGTATGCAAATCATTCTATAAACCTGGATATGTTTCCTCATAAAAGCATCTAAAACATATTAAATGTCATAGAAATGTCTAAAAAATTGGTCTAAATACAATCAGGCTGTAAAGTTGTAACAATATTTCTCCAAATTTTTTTGCTCTAATTTTACAAAAAACTACAAAAAAGGGTGATGCAATATTTGAGCTTCAATATTTAAGCTGTTTAAAAATAATACGCCTGTGCAACCTTTCAATCAGGTCTGAAGTAGGTTTTAAAAAACAGATTTACAGGCTTTTATGGCACTGCTTCTTTCTAATTATTAACAACAAATAGTCCATGTGTGCTGCTCCTGATAAATAACGTAATAAAGATGCCTGTTGTGAAAAATGCCACCGGAGAGAGCATCATTGCTTTTCTCCGTCTCAAATTGTTGTGCAGCTTTGGTCATGTTAGGATTAATTTATTAAAATTGACAGTTAATAAATATAAAATGCAAAGTGAAAGCAGAAATTGAAATAGCTGTGTCGCATTTTTATTTTTGGTGTTCCTCCCCAAAGTGATCTGAAAACAAAAAGTCTGAAGGCGTCCTGATCCCACGTGGCAAAAAATACATATTTCAATCTAAATCTTCATCTACATTCTAATGCCCAAAACTATTTACCGTGAGAATTTAGCCATCATATTACCCACCTTGACCAGGCAGGAGGTGGTCACCACCTGTTTGGGGTCCACCACGTCCACCAGGGGCTCCTTCATTGCCACGTTGCGGATGCAGGTCATGTCAAAGCCATACACATTCTCCCACCCTGTTAAAGACAAAGTTATTTACACAGCATGTTTTCACTTGCTGTGTTTAGCTTTTATTGCAAACACATGAACTCATTTTGTTCTGGCTCCAGAAATAACCAAGCGAGAAGAGAAGAAGGAGGAGGAATCCCTGGTTGAGGCTCCATGAGTCATATGATCTACGACCCATCAGATACACCCCCAAATATTCAGAATGATTAAGTGTGTTGCACTAAAAGTCATATTTTGTTAGGCAACACGTTTTTATTATGAGCCTTATTAAAGTCAGACTTCAATCCTGGGTGGCAAATCCACGTTGCCTGAGTTACGTAAATCATCCTATACATTATTCATACAGGCTCTTACGATAAATATGTGAGCAAGCAGCTCTGTCATGACCCAAAAGGCGTGCCCAACATGAGTGCCTAGGATGACAGGTTATGATGAACAGGTCAGAAAAGGCCAGAGGACTTTTAAGATTTAGTATATTTGCAATTCTTGCTGTGGGCTTATCTGAGAGTCTGTGCAGCCAAGAGGAGCAGCATGATCACCACAGGCTCTTAGGATACAGAAATCCTTTAAGGGACCACTGTTTAGTCAGCATAAAGGTTTTTTCTCAGGCACATTGCCAGGGGGATAAATGTTTACAGTCATTATGACTCACACCTCAGAGTGAGACATTTGACTTTCCAGAATCACAGCAGATCACAGTGAAGTCACCAAAATTCACAAGGAGACTCTTCAGGGTCTAGGGCCACATGACTTTTCTCTGACTACCCAGCAGGGCACATGTGAGACCTTCAGCTCTTGTTTATCTGACTGCTGCATTCTGGAAAAAAAAAAAAACACATTGGCGGTGCTGCTCTTGTGTTTTGTGACTCTCCTCCAATAAACTCACCCACAGTCCTCCTGGGCAGGTCTGGGTGGGATCAGTGATGGAGGGTATTTTTGATCTATGATGTCAGTTATTGCCTCCAGTCTTGAGCCCAAGAGATGGTTCTGAATGAGAACCACAACCATGCTTTTTCTAAAGGTGTCCATTCATCATCCAGCTGTTTTTAAAGTCACATAGAGCCACAAAGGTCACACAAAACTCAGGAAGCATGAGGTGAAACTTTAGATTACATACAAACTTGAATGATGCACTTACAATGTATTTTGAAGTCCTTGTATTGCCTGTCTTCAATGGCCAGCACATACAAGGAGGCGCGGTCAGGAAACATCAAGCCACCAGTCTTCTGTTTAAAAAAAAAAAAAGAGAAAATGAAACAAATGACTTAGAAAATACAGAATGAAATAATCAAAGTTGAACTGAAAACTTGAACAGAACCAAAAATCCAGATCAACAGATAACGATAATACCTCCCCAACATCCCCAATTAAAAAGCTAAATATTTAACAATAGGCTGTGAATCATTCATTCAAAATGTTATTACATAACAGCTGATTGAGCTTGGCTGGATTTTACTCCCACTGCATCAAAATAAGATGCATTTTCTTCTAAAAACACTTAGACAACCTGGGTGTCGTACCAGCCACTTGTCCCTTGCAAAGATGACGGTGTTGAGCATGGATTCGTAGAACAAACAGTACCCCATCCATTCTGATATAATGATGTCCACCTTCTCGACAGGAAGCTCCACCTCCTCCACCTTCCCTTTGAATATGGTGACAACTGAAACACACAGAACGAATGCAATAATCAGAAACCATAATGCACATACAGCACAGAATCACTGATTGTTAGAGATTGGCCATAACAGATGTCGAACTAGAGCCTTTGGTATTTTGAAAGAGTTTTTGTACATACAGAATAACAATTAACAGAGTGGGTGGGAAAAACACTTCCACAGCAGCTCTGATGAAGCACCAATTGAATCTGGCTCAGTAGGGGACTTCAGTGGATTGGATCTTTGCTCTACTGGAAAATAATTGACTTCAGATTCTGCCTCAGTGAGAAGTTACTAGAGTTCTTTTGTTGAAACAAGCGACTGCCACAATGACATGTGAGCCATGCTCTCCGATTGCTTCCAGCTCCTTCACTGTCCAACACACTGCAAACACTGCTCATATTTTCTAAATGACAGCAGTGCATTTGGTATTCATAGGTATACAGATAGGACATTTGCTGGCAGCACAGTTTATGAAGCTATTAGTTTGTTGCTGTGGGGCTAGTGGCTTTGCAGGAAATTAGTTTTTTGTTGTTGTTGCAGGACTTCAGAGATTAAACTCCTTTGCATACATTTAAAAAAACACCCCATTGCAAACTGATGCATCCAAGAAAAACAGAGCAAAGGTGAAACACAAAAACTTCTTTTTTTATGAATTCACATCTACTGGGATTACACTCTGTCTGCTTTTAAATTTCATCTTCCTACTTTCTATTCCTGCTTTCTTTCATTCCTTTTTATGACAATCATTTTATCTAATGCTCCCTTAACCATAATTAACAAAAAAATGTCTTTCCTAACAAAGTTATAGAGGTGTAATTGTTTGACATAAATGTTATTTACAGGTCTTTATTTCAGAAAATTATTTAAGGAAGTAAAGTTTAGAATAATAGGGTACTTTCTACTACCCTAAAAACTCCGTATTGCAGTTTTAGGGCTTTTTCCACTTGTGCTCAGTGTCATCAGGAGGCACCGAGGAACAGCTGCAGCTCTTACCGCTGTCAAGGTGGTTGGACTTGATGATCCTTTCTGAGTACTCTGATATGCTGGAACATTCAATCTGTTGAATACATGAACATAAGAAGATGTTTAAAGCAACATTCTCTGCATTCACTTTGTTTACGTTTCTGTTCAAGTTTACTGCACTGAACCAAACTGGATCTTTCTTTTATTACTTTTTTGCAGAGTTTGACATGTTTTATATGCAACAAACTGAGGATTGTGCATATTAAATATCTCACCTTTTGATTTAAGTGTGATCTGGTGAGTGATAAATAAAGATATGAAACTCTGGCTATATTTTTTAACAGAGGTCATACATTTTCCCTCTGAGGATGCACACAGATGCATTAGGATCTTGAAGTAGCGCTGCTCTACCCTCTGGTGGTAATTAGCCAAGGACTGTTCAAATGGCTTCTGTTGCCTCTGGTGCTTAATAAATATTACTGCACCAATTAGATTAATAATCAGGAATGCATACAGCGTGCTCAAGGTGTTTGCATGTGTTTTTGTACTGCTGAAGTATAAAAATCAGGACAAGAATGTCAGGGCTTCTGAATATTTCCTCATCTCCATTTCTTACTAAATCTCACTTGAAAGAGATGGATATCTGGTATGAATCCATTAGGCTCTCGCTTCAGTAACCTGGAGACATGATGACAGAAGCATTCTATTACACGTTTCTTTTAGAGATACTTAACAAGTGCCAGGAAGAGTCACTGTCACTGTGGTCAAGCCTGAAAGGTCCCACTCATGATGAATGAATCAGTGCATAGAAGTAGCAAGTGCATGTTTCTAACTTTGCCCTGATGTCATGCCTCCCTTCTATCTGGGCTATTAACATTCGACTCAGTCTTAATACAGTTCAGAAGAGAGAAGTAATTACTGATCTTACTTACAGATATTTCAGCTTAATTTCTTTGAAATAACTCGAGTTAATTATTTAAATTTTATAAGATTAACTTGAGTAATTTCACAGAAAATAACTTTTAGGTTTCTACCATCTTCAAATCCTTGTTTTGTCAAAAAGACTCAAGCAAACAACACTAAGAAAAGAAATGGGTGATGGGTGAAATGAATTACAAAGTTCTTGCTGGTTTAATGAAATCAAAAGTGCAACAGAAACAAAATCCAAGAAACCAAAAAACAAGGGGAAAACACACGAGGAGCCTTGGAAAGACAAGAATCCAGCACTGAAAAACTGCACAGGGAGAGTATTGCTGAGTTTGAATTCATGGGCTGCTTCCTCCGAAGGCCAGATTCGTAGGCTGATTACGTAACAGCGAGGCGCCGAGGTCGGTTCGGATTGCAAGACTCATTTTACAGTTGACAAATACATCTTTCTTTTTGCCCATTTTGAAGGACAAGTCCTGTGTATCCTATGTAGCCTTCCATCCAAGAAAGCCGGCATTTCCGTGCTCAGAGGAAAAAGGTACTTGGCGCCAAACAGTGGTCAGCTTAATATAATGCAAGTATGTGAATAGCATCATCTGAAATTAATTAAAATAGTTATATTAAATGGTTATTGAGTCAGATATGTGGGGGTAATGTTTGGTTTTTGAATTTTTTTTATCTGTCCATGTGTAAATGGGTTAAGCTGTAATTTAAGGACAGATTCTAATATATATCGGCAGTGTTGGGGACTATAAATCTGATATGATGCAGCTGTTGAAGCTTCTCAAAAATATTATTAACACCCAGAAGAGCAGTGAGAAGTTCAGTATTATTTTTTTCCCCTGCTTTATGTGTCAACTGTTACGGTTTCCAGGCGATGGCGCATACGGTGATAAAAGTCACAGAAGGCTGGACCCGTTTGAATTCACAGCCAAAACTCTTCCGGTCTCCTCATTTTCACGGACCTTGAAGGATCCAGTTCAGATAGACTGGGTCCTTGGAGGATGCAGCCTCGAAATCGAACACACCCTATATATGGGAGACAGAACATATGCTGCGGTAATCAGCTGATATGGAGCAGATGTGGATAGGAGTGACTAGATGGGAGCTAGGGGAAAGGAGACAGAAACAAGGGGACAACAGAGTAACTCGAAAAAAGCAACACAGCTTAAATATAACACTGAATGGAAAATAAACTGAAAATCAACAAAACAGAATGACATAGATAACTGAAAAGTAAAAACTCGAAGTCCAAAGGGGAGAACCGTAACACCTGGTATGGGTGAGATATATTATACGCAACAGGTAAACATTTTTCCTCAGTGTTGAGGCATTAAAAGTAGAACAAAAGTGATTATTTTATATAAAAAATGATTAAAATGTCATGACTGGAAAACGAAGCAGAACATTTCTAAAACTGAAGCTCCTAATGGTCGTGTCCAGTCTGTGGTGGTCTTTTTCTATCAAAGGTAGTTCTAGGAACGAGAGGCATTGAAAATTTTATCAAAACCTGGGCACATTAATAAAGGTAAGGAACAGATCTTTACCACCAAACTACAAGATACTATAGCTTGACTTTCTAAGAGTCCAGTATGGTCCCAGAGCAAACAGGGACCATACTGGTTAATGCTTCATACCACTGAGTGATGCCGTGTGTTGATTGGTGAGATATATTACATCAGTAAAAAAATAAAATCTAAAAATTGTAATTCTAAAAGCAAAGCACCGAATAAAAATTATCCAAACATCTACAGTAACAAAATATTTGCTCACAACGTTATTAGTTGCATAACAAAGGTATATACGAAATATGAATCATAGAGCAACAGAAATTCCACAAAGCACAAGAAATAACAACAATCAAAAAATACAAGGGTCATAGAAAAAAAAATTTGTTTAAAGAAATCTGTATTCAGTAGAATCTGATATGGATTATAGAACCAGATTTAGTTTTGTATACACTCTGTGTAAACAAAATGACAATAAAAGTTGTCTAAGTCTGTCTAAGTCTTATATCATGGTGATGATGTTCACCTGATTCATTTGTATACGACAAAGAGATTCATAAAACCGGTTTGTGTTAGAATTATTATCGTCAAACTTAAATCTGCCAGGAATCAATAAGACATTTTTACAAAGAGTGCCCAAATAAAAACAACATTGGGCCCTCAGGCTCCATGGAGTTCACTTACTCGTCTGCATTTGTTAAAGATTCAACACTTCATAGCTCAGAGCTTAAAGCTATATCCTTTCCGTTAAAGATGCACTCATTTGTAAAGTCTTCAGTTCATAGGGGTCGACACAACCCAGTCAGATTGATAGGACTGTGGAAAGCATTTTAAGTTCATAGACAAGGGGCAAAAGACAAGGGCAAAGACCCGAAAAGACGAAGAAGGAAACCAAACCCCAGGCTTTAGGTAAAGACACTGAAACACCAGAAATGCACCAGCATCTCACAAACAAAAATTCTCTTGGCAGTTCAGACTTAATCACATCTTTCCTGAAGCATGTGAATAGAAGTGGAGTCAAAAAAATAAGCTCCACATGATCACCTCAAGCTGAGGGGGAGTATGCACCATTTATTTTCAGACATGCCTTGAGTCAAAATTACTTCTGCAAATAAACAGAACACTGGCACAGGGAATATTCTTGGATCACAGCCTGTTCAGGAACCTGAATACTTTTATTAGCTGCGAATCAGTCAAAGAAAGCTCTAAAATGTGCAACAAGGTCTGATATAGCAAATCTGCTGTCTATATAAAAGCAATTCAGGAATATACAGTAACGGTTTAGTATCATGGTTTTCTTTGACTCCTACAGAAAACCTAATGACTAACATTAAGTGATTTGGTCACTTAATACTCAGTCATAGGATCAGATCCAATGGTATTAGAGTATGATGACAGACAAGAACATATCTTACCCCGTAGACGTGCTTTGCTCCTGCTTTGGCTGCAAACATGGAGAGGATCCCAGTCCCACTTCCAACATCCAACACTATTTTATCCTTGAAGATGTGCTTGTTGTGATACATGGAGTTTCTGTAGGTTAGTGTCCTCACCTCATCCTTCAGCATTTCCTGAATTTTGCAAGACAACATACAGTAAGTAACGTATTACTGTTTGAAAACTTTTGGGGGGGGGGGGCTTTGCTCCAAACTGAAGATGTCCATTGGGTCTGTGAAGGCTGGATTTGCTGATGTACAGCAGAGCACTTAGAAATAACACACAGCTTTCAGCTAATCTCTATCTGTTTCCTCCCAGCTGTGTGCTTCACTTAAATCCATATTTAATGTATCTGGATGTGCACTAGAGCCAGCAGGTTCAGCCTTTGTGCTCTTCTATTGTGCTTGAGACGGCACTGATGCAAAGAGACTATGCCGAAGTGACAAAAATATATGTGACCTACATTCCTAAAATATAAAACCAAATCATGTTACAGGTCACAGAAGGAACAAAGTCTTATTTCCGCTTGCTTCACAACTCCCTGTTTTCACTTTGAGGAATAAAACTGAAGAATATCAGCAGGAAGAGGATCTGAGATTAGCAGAGAAAGAGAGGAATATGTGTGATATACATACAATGGTTACAATGCATGAAATAAATGAATATGGAAGGAGGAGTGGAGAACTACTGGTTAGACCAGGGGGGCTTGCTTTTTTGAAAACTGCAAGAACCCAATTAAAACCACAGCCTGCGTTCCTGAGCGAGACCCCATTGCAAGGTTCCAAATTGCAATGACAAAATAAAGGTTACTCTTACAATAAGGTTTGGTTAGTTCATATGTTTTAGAAATGATCTGGCTATGTTATCCTTCTTTTATCAAATACATAAAGAGTATTATAGAGAACACATCTCATCTTGACTCAGCAGACGCTCAACAAGGATAAATTCCAGTACTCAACAGAACCTTTCCCACAGGAAAGGTGAAGATTTCCTGCCTTTTAAAGTGGCTGCGCTGCTATAACCTCAACCATCTCTAAAACCCTCTCTGTCATAAAGGTCTGAGTTAAAAGCTTCTGAACATAAGAGAGGAGGAGAGGAGGCTGCCAAGAAGATTGACCTTAAGGAGATTATTATTCCTGAATAAGACACGAAAAGGCCTCCTCTGCTGAGGAAAATGTATATTGCTTTACCAACATAAAACCCCAAAAAAGGTTTAAATGATCTTTGTATTTGTTTCTTTTAGATGTCTCAAAATATTATAAGAGAATAAAACTGGTACTAAACCTTTCCAATAAATCAGCATTGCTACTTTTGCTCTCTCTCTACGTTTAAATCAATTCTTACAGCTATTTCTGAGCCCTAAATGTTTGCGAATCCATCTCTCAATCCTTTAACTATATTTGATCCGAAGCTGCTTCCTCCCAACTTGATTATTGATTCCTGTAAATGGTAGCATTATCTCCTACAAACCGGCGATAATTTAGACACAAAACTAAGTAAAGGGGAGGGAGTTATTCGCTAAATGCATTCAATGCATTAAATATATATTTACGTTAACATTATATAAATATGTAAAGATATTCAGAAAATTTCTTAATTATTGTGACACAATATCTAAAATGTGGTGGATAATGTGTTTTCTCTATACTTGTAAAAATCTGATAGGATTGTTAAAATAATGCTTTTGCATTTTGAAAACCAATCAATTGTAATGGCTACACTGTAAATCGTTCTACTCTTAGTAATACCAATAAACATATATTTTAATCTAATGAATGCAATTTGAAATTTAAGCCTGAGTGCAACTTAATGCAGAAATATTCGCAAAAGGCCACATCTGCGAAGCCTCACAGTCTTGAAGAGCCATCTGCCACCTAGGCTGCATCGGCATCCAACTGCTTTGTGAGTACCCCCTTCTATGTTTTCATTTTATTTTCAATAGCTTTACAGTTCACTGGGTCCGGCTTTAGCTGAGGGCAGTGAAACAGTTGTCTAAAGGTACTGTACAGGACCTTTACATATTTCTTCTCTTTCTGCATTTTTGTTCTTACTTTAATGTTTAAGAAAACCTGACTTGAGACACCAAAACTTGTAATAACCTTAAAAAAAATTGTTTTCAAATAATTATTATTTCACTTCTGGAGACCAGCACCAGCACCCCTCGTGACCCCACTTGGGATAAGCATGTTTGAAAATGGATGGATGGATGGATAATAATTATTTCATTGTTAAAGCAGCATCGTGTAACTTTTAGCCTCCAGGGGCACTAGTTTGTTTGAGAGCCTGATGCCAGACTTCTTTGGATCATTAGTTAGAGAATAAGACAAAGCCACATTCACCTTCAACATTATATCCTACAACATAAGAATCAATCATACTATGTCTAAGAGTCATATCTGTTTTGGTCCCTTCGAAAAGTTTTATCTTAATGATGATTATGTAATGGGAGCTCATTCATTGATGGATCTGACTCTCTAGGCACGTTTTTGAGAAGTGCAGCACACATGGAACATCTATACAAACCTTATGTTGCGTATTATCTGATTTAAAAAAAGCATATATAAGTTACTTATTGTTGCTTTAAGGAAAATCAACTCAAACCAAATGGGCTGGATGTGACATGGTAATCACTTCCTAAGTCAGGACTTAACTGTGATTAGCATAATTTCTGCTTTCCTATAAGCACTAATATAAAACTTTACCTCATGAATCCCAAAGTGGGCATATGAGTCAAAGTAGTAGTCTCGTGAAGTCATCTCCTCTGGGCTGTGGAACTTGGCCATCCTGCCACGTCCCGGACAGCTGGGGAGACTTGCAGCATGGGGGGTGTGTGGTGTGAGAGAAGGCCAAGGGGTAGGCTGGACAGAAGGCACCGGCTTGGGCAAGGAAGTCGGCTGCACTGATTGAGAAGGAATAATGCGTACTGGCCGTGGTTGGGTCTGAGGCTGCTTCAAAAAAAGAAACAAAGACAAGTAGTCATTTCATAACGGCAACAACAGTTTATACCAATCAGTTCATCATCATAAAACCCTTTATTACTGACTGAAATCCCCGTGACTTGTGAGAATAAGCAAACATGAAGTCCACCTGTCTGCAGCAGTAGGCAGAACAGGACTATCACCTGTTGGGAAGGTGTCTGAGTTTTTTTTTTAATGAGAAAGATAGAGAGACGGATAAACAAACAGAGAGTCTGTCTGCGGAGAGCCAACAAACTATTCTGATTTTCTTCTCATTCCAACTACCAGGCATCTAAAAATATATTTGGAAAAACACACATTTGGCAAGATAAATTAGATTTTCTGGTGTTCAGAAGTCTAACAGTGATTAAAAGTGATCGTAAGAACTGTAATTTCTAAGTTTGACATTATTTCTGTCCGATTATTCCAGTAACATAAAAATATTAATAAAAAGACAATGAATGCAATAAATAGGGTATGGAGCAGAGAAAGAAAGTCTGTAAGGGTATTGTTACCTTTCCAGGTGGCATAAAAAACAAATGCCTTTGATGGCTTAAATTATTTAAATGAAAGAATAATAAACTATTTTTGAGAATTATTAATCCTTGTTCAAAGGAGACGTCTCTATACACCTTTTGAGCATTGGATTAAAATGCCTTTAAACTGGGTCAGATATTCTGAGTATCCTTCCAGAAGCTTCTTATAGTGTTTTTTTGGAATTTGGGCCCATGCCTCCTGATAGCACTGTTAGAACTAGGACAGAGTCATAGGCCTCATCACCCATTTTTTCTCTGAGGCTGAAATCTGGGCAAAGTCATGGGGAATTCCAAAATATTGACTCTGTTGTCCTAAAGCCACGTTGTAACTAATCTGGTGGTGTTGTTGGGGTCATAAGGACTCACTGTGTCCTAACTTTCTGGCAGACGTCTTTAGATTTCTGTTCAGTACTTTCACATAATATTCTTCCCTCATGATTCAGCCTATTTTGTCAAGTGAAACGGTCTCATATATTCCCATAGTGATCGGTATCTTATTTCAGCATCAGGAAACAGTTGCACAGTGATGTGGAGTAAAGGTGAATAAACACCTTTTATCAATGAATGCATTCATTCATCCATCTATTGTCTATACACACTTGCTCATGCAGGATAATGGGGAGGCTGGAGTTTATCATCAATATAAACAACCATCACAGGACAAACAACCATGTGCAGACACATGCTCACACCTACTGTAAGGACAATTTAGAGAGCCCGGTTAACCTTGCCATCATGTTTTGGACTGTCAGAGAAAGGCAAGTACTGAGAGAGAGCCACACATCCATGTGTGAATTTTTTTTTTATATATGATCCTAATTGATGTCAAATAGCAAGGGTAAAACCAAAGTAATTAGTCTATTATAACCTCATCAAGATAAAAGCTGCAAAGGATGCTTAGTTCTTAGATTGGTGAGGTTTTCTAAGCTGGAGTCACAAAGCAACATGCAATACCCACGGTTCATTTAAAGCCTTAAATACAGTACTTTAAATACAACTCTGGTAACCTGGCACAACAAAATATGTTTTATTTGAACCAGCCAAAGAATTCGGAACAACCTCGGGAGTCAGCCAAGTCGGACAATCTATTGTGTCTTATTATTTTGTGTGAGCAATTCAAACAAGCTGAGTGGTTTAGTACAGTTAGAGGAAAGCAGTTGGGGAGACAGTTGAGAGGACACAGAAAAGAAAACTGTAGATCCAGTCTGCCTTTGGCCCTGGGAACAGATAAACACATTTGTGCTTCTATTTCTGTGAGGCTTGCTATTTGAGAAGGATGCATCTGTCCCTCCTTCTTCTACAATACAGAGGACACAGTTTTGTCTGTTAAGGTTATACTTGTTAAAATCTAGAAATGATCAACACATGAGTCTAATTTTGAATGAAACAACTGTCATACTTTAGATAATATGTTTTTATGCGGATCTCATCCTTTCATCAGGAAAGCAATCCTCTAAATACAGTACCTTGAAATGGAATTCATAGCACTCAACCTTTTCCTCATTTTGTCACATTACAGACACACTTTTCACCTGGCTTTCCATGAATTTTATGTGATAAATCAACACAAAGTAGCACACATTTAAAAAATACGGAAATGATACATTTTTTTTTTTTTTTACAATAAATCTGTGATGTGTATTCTTATGCAGGTCACATTGGGTTAACATGCACTGCAATCTCTACATCGAGTCTTTTTTATAACCTGTAACCATTTAGACTTTGAGCTGAACTTTTACTATGCCTTTGAACATATAATTCCACTGTTTTCCTGTATTTAGCTCCATCCCTCTTCACATAGACTCCAAGCTTACTTATATCTGCCAAAGAAAAGGGACTCCAAAGCATTAGGTTGTCACCAGCATTCTCTAGAAGATTGCACCTGAACACACCTCCTATTTTTACAAGTTTGCTGCCCTGCTTTTAATGGCTGTGATCATATCCCTCTATAACAAAAAATATATAGTCTAAAAACATATTTATGGGCATAGAAAACTATAATCTGTGTGGTCAACACTTTCTTCCTCTTTAGCTGTCAATATCTGCACATCCCCAAAGCATCTTTGTTAAAGGTTATAGAGGGTCCCCTATAACATTTCCCATTGCAGATTGAACAGAAACAAGATTCGTTCAATCTCTTCACTATAGGCTGCACAAACTAAGTTTTAAAAAATAGAAACATACATATATATATACTAGCCGCACCGGGCTATAAGCTGATACCCACTGAACTGTCCACCATCAAACCAGTTGGTGGAGCTCTATATGTCACCCCTACAGTAGGGACGAACAAGAATGCTATCTCCTGTTAGCTTGCGGAAGTAAGGCAAGGCAAGGCAATTTTATTTGTATAGCACAATTTCGTACATGGACAATTCAAAATGCTTTAGATGAATTAGATAATAAAATAGAAGAAAATAAAAGTAGAAGAAAAGTAAACTCATTTGTAAACCAAATAAAACAATTGGACCACAAAAAATCTGAATAAAAGCAAGTAAACAAAACATGATAAAAGCAGGTAAAGAAGAAAATAAAACAGTTGGACCAGAACCTTAAAATAATGACACCTCAGTTAACAGTTTAACTTCAACAGTCAAAGGCAGTTTTAAACAAATGGGGTTTTTAACTTGGACTTAAAAGTGCTGATGAAGATTCTCAGTCATCCAGGTCATAGTCATTCCGTGAAAATTTAAAAAATAATCCACTACTCCACCATTAATCCAGTAAAACAATCCACTGGACTTGGTTTCCAAGTCCAGTGGATTGTTTTTTTTTTATACTTTTATGGAATTAGACTTAAAAGAGCTCTGACTTTCAGCACCTTTGCAGTTTTTTGAGAATTTGTTCCAGATAAGTGGAGAATAGGAACTACATGCTGCTTCTCCATGTTTGGTTCTAGTTCTGGGTAGACAGAGTAGGCTGGAACTAGAGGACCTGCGTGGTCTGAGAGGTTCATACACTGAGAAAAAAATCTGTATTGAGGCACTGATCGATTCGGTGATTTATAGACTAATAGAAGGATTTTAATGTATATTCTCTGAGCTACAGGAAGCCAATGGAAGGTTTTCAGCACTTTGCTCTACGTAAGAGCATCTAATGAAATATGGGGCATTTTCAGCTCTTTATTTCAGCTCTGCAGGAGTTGCACAGTCTCGTCATTGGTTAGACAGCTTTAATACAGCATATTAAAGTTAAAATGTATGAATTTCAAGACATCTGTTCTTTGTAATGCCTGCTGCTTTTGTGCTGAATGAAAATTAGCTCCTTCTTTGATTTCGAGCTTTGTATAAACCACGTTTTAAATCATGGGGGGAAAAGTAATGGCTTATAATCCGGAAAGTATGGTACCTTTATTATTTTTAAGCCAAATAAAATAAATTCCAAAAGTATAACTGTTCTAATTGTAGTTTATTGTTGTTTGGGAGAATAATCAATATTTGAAATTAGACAGACCTTCTAAACAGATATGCCCAAAGCAGGTAAGAGCACATTTGGACAAAAAGTATTTTCGTAAAGACTAAAACAACTTTCCTTTCTGCATACAGACACTAAATGTTAGGTTTTTGTTTCTGTTATGTTTTTCATTTGCTCCTTGTTTTCTAGTGTTTAGTTTTCTTTTCACCATGTTTCTTTATCCTAGTTATTTGATTATTATTTTGTTGTTGTTTTCTTATTAGTTCCTGTCTTCCAGCTTTTCATTTGTTATCCTCTGCTGCCCTCGTGTGTCCTCTTTCTCTTGCTCTGTTTTCTGTTCAGCCCTCACCTGTTTTCAATTCCCTCATTAGCCCTCTCCCTGTCTCTGTCCCCTTTAAAAGCCCTCCCTCTTCAGTTCTTGTTTGCTGGATCCTTGTCTAACCTCTCGTCTAACCCCTGGTCTATCGTCTGTCTGCCTTCCTCGTCTCTTCCTGGTTCCTAGACTTTGGTTTTCCCCTGATGTCTCCTAGGTTCTGGTTCGTGAGTTATTTTTTGTTGGATTTTTTTATTCCTGCCTCAGTGCCTGTGAACCTCCTGCCTCAGTGCCTGTGAACCTTATTAAACCACTTAAATTCACCTCTGCCAACTCGTCACTGCATTTGGGTCCTCTGCAACAAACACAATTTCATGACAGAATGGAAAACCTGGAAGACAGGAACTAATAAGAAAACAACAACAAAATAATAATCAAATAACTAGGATAAAGAAACATGGTGAAAAGAAAACTAAACACTAGAAATCAAGGAGCAAAAGAAAAACATAACAGAAACAGAAACCTAACACTAAACAGTTGTGACAGTAAAGACCACCTCCTTCTTAAACTAGTTAGGGCTGAATATCATATCACAAGCATGTGACTGCCATCAAGAGCAGTTATACTGTTTAAGATAATTTCATAGGAGGGGGGAATTACAAGCTACATAAGACTGACTCTAAGCAAAGGGTGGTTCACATCCAGATAACACCACTCGCCGAAGGTCACATTATAGATTATCTTTAAATGAGCTGTGCCAGCATATTTTAGAAGAGGGGTGAAATACACTTGATCAGTTTCTCTGGAGGTCAATTCTGCTGTTTGTAAAACATCTATACTTTTACTTAGATGGCTTTTAGATCTGCCACCCTCCTCAGGAGCTACTCCATGACTAACAGCAATCCCCTTGACTGGACCGCAAAGTACCGCAGGACCTTGGACAGCGCACGCATTTCCCAGCAGATTGAAGTAGAACCCTGTTCTGCTAATGTCCTACGTTATAAGGTATAGCTACAACAGCAAGGTTTTATAGAAATACGACATTCATTTTAAATTACTGAAACCACTGCAAAGCATCTTAAATATGCAAATAATGTGACAATTTATTTAAAATCTGCCAAGACTAGCAGAACATGCCTTTATTAAGATTTTTGCGGAGGGAGAGTCAGTCTGCAGCCAGTCTGATCCCGGACAGTCAGCCCTCAATGATTAGACTGTTGCAACACCTAGGATATACCGCAGGACTCTTGCTGCATTTAACTTTCCGGTTTGAATTAGCAAACGGAGCTCTGCAACATTTGTAAGGATTTTCAAATTCACGGTGTGCACTCACCTCACTACGCTCAGTCTCCGCCATTTTTCTCCCTAGGAGCATGCAGCGCGACGAATGCTTAATTCCCATCAGAGCCTGCACAAATGTAAACTTAAAAGTTGAAAGAAAAGCCTTTCAGCTTCCCACTCTTAGTCTTCTTAGTTCCTCACAGATAAATACCTATCTGTTATTTCCAAAACGGCAATGCTCTGAACGTGCGTTATTATTTTGAAAAAGGCAAATAAAGTTTACATTGATTAGTTCTGCAAAATCTAAAGAACATTCAGCGGTTATTCAATGTCACTACCTGATGTTGATTCAACGGTGACTTGACGTCAAAATGCCAGCTGGAAAAAGAAAAGTCAAAGAAGTCCCATTAAGCTTAACACCGTTTCTATAAAGTGTGGTGGATTCCAAGGAGCAAAAGTTTGAAGAGAAACGGGCGCAGTGACAGAGCAGCAGCATCCTGTCCCATGGCCCGCAGAGCGCACACTGAAATCTTCCCCAAAAAACATTAAAAAAAAAATAAAATAAAGCAGCAGATTCACACCAACAGGATGTTTCTTCTCCAGTTTGATTGATTCCTGCACCGCTACATTGTGTCTAAAAATAGTCCTTGTCGCTGCTGCTTCATGGAGAGCGGAGAAAAGAAAATTAGTCACTGCGTACAGAAATTAGTCGGAGAATTTCTTATCAGCTCGCGTCACAGTTAATGTCATATTTAATGAAACAGAGTCTATCTGAATATCTGCTCCAGATGATCAGCCTCTCCATCGGTGGGTGCAGAAAGTTGCACTGGGTCCACATTTACATCTCCTCTCTATCTCCCTCTGTCTCCCTCTATATCTCTCACACACACCCACAAGTGGGAGAGGAAGAGAAGGCGGTTGTCTCAAAGGAACTTGTGTTAAATTTGTTCACATCAGGTGAGCCCTGTCAATCTATTTATACTTCCAATTTAGCCTGGTAACAGACTGCTGCACCCTAAATGCACCAGGGAGCATGATCACATATCCTTCTTTCCAGCAGCTGTAAGACTTTACAGCCATCACTGTTCCCAACAACCTCAATAACGTGTTACATTCATGCTGATTCTTGCCCAGTTTCTCTTTGTCACTTAAACAATATGCTGCTGTCATTTTGATCATCTCTGATGTTGCTGCTATTTTTCACATATCCATTACTGCAAAAAATGTCCACAGCTGTTTATTGATTATTAACCCATGGGGGCAGAACTTTACACTGTGTTTTATCATATCATTTGTTTAAATTTTGTATATGGCTGCTTGCACAAACACACTGTTTTAACCACTTTTTAAGCATTTCTAGTCATACACATTACAGTGTCGTGTTGTATTGTGTCGGCTGGTGTTGCATAGCTTTGGCGTTGACATTTGGAGCGTTAAATTCACAATTTAAAGTTATGTCCCCATGGGTTAGCTGTCAGTGCTAATTCTCTGTTCAAGGAAACCTATAGGATTTAGACCAAAATTTCTCACGTCTTCAGCCCTGGCAAGTCTCAAGTAGCTTGAGCAATAGAGCTCTTGTTGAAATTGACCGAAGTTGTCCTTTAACTGAGGAATCTATACATTATACCAAAGGTGTCTGGCATCAAGAGGGAAAAAAAAGACATTGATATGTCAATAGGCAGAGTGTAGTGTCTAATGTCTATAGGCCTTAAGGTGCACCCTCCCATAATTCAAAGGAACCAACTTTCTTTTAAAAGTCTGATCATACTGAGCATGAATCAGAATGTTAACACTGAACATTTTGGGTTGCACTACATGTTTCAGGTAGTCAATGTATTTCCATACATTGAAAATGCAATGGAAACGCATTACAGGAACATGACTCTCCATGAGCTAGGGGAAGGTGCAATGCAATTTGCAATGTTTGGAAAATACACTGACTACCTGAAACATGTAGTGCAAAATGTTCAATGTAAACATTCTGATTCATGTTAAGCATGATGAGACCTTTAAAAAAATAAATAAATAAAAAAAGTTGGATTATGTGGGGGGTACACGGTTGGCCCCTTAGCTCCCCGCCTACCAGTTAAACTTTAAGTAATGGAAAACTGCAACCCGTATTCTCACCTTTTTTGTCTTTTCCTTTGTACTGATTTGACTGGTTGAGATGGTTGTATCATTTATAGTGGTATATGTGTTTCTTCTCTCTTCTGTTAACCTAGATGTTTCTTCTCTATTAATCCGGAGAAGGGGACGAAAGTGGAACAAACAAAAACAAAACGGCTCCATGTGAATCCAAGAGTCCTTACTTTGATTCAGGACCTCTCAGACCATGAATGGCGAGCTATTTAAAAAGGTATGTGTGCTAGTGCTAATGCTACTGCTGTCCTTGATTATTGACTGACTTTACTAATGAAACTAATGGAGGTTATGTATTTCTTTCTCTTCTCTCTTCCATTAGATGTTCCTTCAAGTGACCGCAATAGTGAACACCCATATGTTTCTCTAGATGTTCTTCTAGAAGCAATGCAGTTGCATGTTAATCTAAGCTTCTGTAACTTGGTTCATGACCTTTTCAACCATGAATGGCGAGCTGTTTGAAAAGGTACAGTACAGGCCAAAAGTTTGGACACACCTTCTCAATCAATGTTTCCTTTATTACCATGTCTATTTCCATTGTAGATTCTCGTTGAAGGCATCAAAACTATGAATGAACACGTGGGAATTATGTTCAATGCATCCAGAGAGTATTCACACCCCTCTCAATGTTTCAGCATTTGTTGCATTGCAGTCATGTCCTTCAGTCAAATAAGTTCATTTTTTTCTCCCTGATCTAGAATCCGTGCCCCATAATGACAGCAAAATACAGAATTGTTGAAGTTTTGGCAAATCATTAAAAAAACTGAAATATCCACATGGGCATAAGTATTCACACCCTATGTTATAACACTCTTGCTGTCATTATGGATCACTGAGTCTAGATCAAGGAGAAAAAAATTAACTTATTTGACTGAAGGAGATGACTGCAATACAACAAATTGTGAAACATTGAGGAGTGTGAATACTTTCAGGATGTACTGTACATAATTCCCACGTGTTCAGTGTACGTGTGCTAATGCTACTGTTGTCCTTGATTATTGACTGACTTTACTAATGAAACTAATGGAGATTATGTATTTCTTTCTCTTCTCTATTCCATTAGTTGTTCAAGTGACCGCGACAGTGAACACCCATATGTTTCTCTAGATGTTCTTCCAGAAGCAATGCAGTTGCATGTTAATCAAGCCTTTACCATGATTCACAAGCTCTCCATGAATGGCGAGCTGTTTAAAAAGGTGTGTGTGCTAGTGCTACTGTTATCTTTGATTATATTGACTTTGCTAATTAAACTAATGGAGATTATTGTGTTTGTTTCTCTTCTCTATTCCCCTAGGTGTTACTTCAAAGTGATGGAGCCGATGAACACCTATATCACCTTTTTTCGTGGCTCTATATTAACAAGGTTCACATTTATTCACTCACAATCCCTCTCTCTCACAAACAGAAGTGCGACCACACACACACAAACACACTTTAATGATCTTTCTCATTATTTTTTCAACAATAAATTTGCGTTATTGTGAATTGTATATTGTCTGATGAGTGGTTTGTTACAGCTTGACTTTTCATTTAGAAGTAATTTGAAGCAATGTAGATAGTAAGACTGTAAAATATATATATATATATATATACTTTTGTTTTTCCAGAATGATTTTGTTAAAAATACAGTACAAATGTAAACATCTTTAAAAAGAAATGTTGTTTTTACCGAAAAAAACTGGCAGCTGTGGTTGCCAGAATAACCCCGTTAAAAATACAGTACAAATGTAAACAACATTACGAAACAACTTGTAAATTTCACGTCCTAAAACTGCTTATTGTACACTGAATAACTGCAAAATGTACATTTAGTCATTATTTATTGTACATTAAATCCCAGTAAAATGTACAAGTTGTTCCGTAATGTTGTTAACAGTTTTGTTGTATTTTCTACGGGATTATTCTGGCAACCACAGCTGCCAGTTTTTTTCCGTAAAAACAACGGATTTTTTTTTACAGTGCATTAAAGCTGGAAGTGTTACCTATATTTTCATTTAGAACTGCTCAGTCAGGGTTTATCATCAGTTTTTTAGTCTTTTACAGATTCTTGATGCCATTTGTGTCTGGAATTTACCTGGGTGATTCTAAAGCAGGTGCGGGTCTCAATTTAACCATTAATTTTTGCTCTGGTTGTAGCATATGTTTAGGGTCTTTTTTCCTAGTGGGGGATGAACCACCAGTCCAACGTTTGTTGCAACCTCTAACAGGTTCTTACAGGATTGTCTTTTATTGTTCTCCATCCATATCCCTATGAACTACCATTAGATTTATTGTCCCTGCTAAAGAAAAGCATCCCTAAAGATGATGCTGCAGTTATCATTCTTTATCATACTGTAGGATTGGTATAGTCAGGGTGGTGTTCCCAGTATTCTGTCACCAATTGCATGGTTCGGATTTCTTGTCTTCACACCAAAGCATTTTCTTCCCTGTGTTTGCTTTATGTACAACATGACTTTTAGAACTAGACTTAGTTTGACTCTCCGTCAATCTTCTTGCCACAATTTCTTAAACATCTCAAGCGTAAAACTTTACAGATTGTCTCAACTGAGCTGTGCACCAAGGTAATTTTGGTTGCTTCGCTAAGTTATGCTGTTTCTTCTTCTTCTCAGTTCAGGTAGAAGTTAATGTCTTGGCAGGTCTGCAGTAGGTCAGATACAATTCATTCCACCAGATTATACAGCAAAATGGATTCAAAGTTTTCTATCTTAGGAAAACCAGTTGATTGCATTGAATCATTGACTCGAAGGAAATCCCTCACACCAAGCATGCTTGTAGCGACAGTGGGGGGAGAAACTCCCTTTTAACAGGAAGCAACCTCCAGCATAACCAGGCTCAGTGTGAGCGGCCATCTGCCGTTGCAGACTTGGGTTCAAGGAGACAGAAGCAGACATACAGAAATAAGCAGAGATACAAAAGGAACTCTAGGCTTTAACAAAAAGGAAATATTTAAGCCTACTCTTAAAAGTAGACAGGGTGTCTGCCTCACTGACTTAAAATCTGTAGTTGGCTCCACAGGAGAGGAGCCTGATAACTAAAAGATCTGCCTCCCATTCCACTATCAGAAATTCTAGGAACCATTAGTAAACCTGCAGATTGAGAGCTAAGTACTTTGTTAGGAACATAAGGAACAATTACATCTCTGATATAAGATGGAGCTTGACCATTTAGGCTTTATATGTGAGAAGGAGGATTTTAAATTCTATTCCGGATTTAACAGGAAGCCAATGAAGAGAAGCTAGGATAGGAGAGATATGATCTCTCTTTTTAATTTTCATCAGAACTCTGGCTGCAGCATTTTGGATTAGCTGACGGCTTTTAGCTGCAGTTTGTGGACTTCCTGATGGTAAAGAATTACAATAGTCCAGCCTTGAAGTAAGAAATTCATGGACTAGTTTCTCAGCATCATCCCTGGAAAGGATATTTCTAATTTTTTCAATATTCCACAGATGAAAAAAGGAAATTCTAGTAACCTATTTGATATGAGATTTAAATGACAGGTCCTAATCCCTGATTTCTGTTCTGACTCTTGAAGGAGGCGGTCGCATATCCCTGCTGCTCTGCAACCCCTGATCTCACTGACCTGTCCCCGCTTTGCTGTGTCTTTTGTCTTTTTCTGAGCCCTCTCTTCATATCACCCGAACTCAAACAAGGGACCTGGTCAGCTGGTCTCTCAATGCAATTGATACAATTTTCTCAATTGGAAGACAGGGAAAAGAGGACCCATCCCATCCTGCTGGGACA